GTAGTCTGTGGATTGCTGGTGCCCCCCACGGCACTTGCTATCCCAGAAAGGTGGCACTCTGCTTGTTTCAAGCGGTTACCTTGCACTGAAGGAAGCTACGAAAACATTGACTCCTCCCCTCACTTTTCTCAGCTAGCAATTGGAGCCCACTGGTGAGGATGTGTCTGGGGCAGAGGGGACCTGTCAGACCCACTCACCACTGGGTTACATGTTGTATTTGCCACAAGGATGTTAGGAGATTGGGAGGGTAGGTGGACCACATGGTTGGGAGACCCTATGGGAAAGTTTAGGAACTGCCGTCCTCCATGGGTTTGATCCGATTCCAAGGCTTTATGGAGTCCTATTGACTCAGCTGTGACCTACTTAATCATAATGAATATTTCAGCAACCAAGTAAGGGGCAGGAAAGCCAATCTCCCTGCAAATGCAGCAGCCAGAGAGTCTGAGGATCAAACAGTGCGTGAGAGATACAGAAATGCCCAGGTGGCTTGTGTTTCTTACCACCTCACTGGCCCTCTGGAGTGAGATCAAATCTCATACATTGCAGCCGTGGAGGGACCATTTTTTTCCCTCTCCATTTAGCACAGCCTGAGGAGTGAGGTCTTTAAAGCCTGCCAATCTCCCCAATATTCTTTCGCTCTCACCACTGCAAACACGTACGTTTGTGTGTGTGTGAGAGAGTGTGTGTGTGTGTGTGTGTGTGTGATGGCAAGTGCTGCAGGGGAACTAAGCTGATTGTGACACTAATGTCCCACGCCTGAGAGGTCCAGAACACCCACAACTCCAGGGACTTAACCGGAATTGTAGGTGCTCACACCTGTCAGGATCAGGCCCCAAGAAAGGCAATTCTAAAAGGATGGGGCAAGGAATCAACTGTGCTAGAAAACCTGGGCTGTTGGGATTTATTTTCTTCTGTGTCCCAGAATTACTTCTAAACGTGTTACTTCTCTCTGGCCCATTTTGGTCAGATCTGCCCCACGTAGTGTAGGAATCCCCTGAACCAGGACTCAGTGCCCGGAAGGGATCTCTGACACTGTAAGCAACTTTGGTTACGTACTCGTGACAGCTGAAAATTAGGTCTGAAACAAAAGAAGTCAAATTCAGACCAAGGTGCAACTCCATGGATTCCTGTTCTCTAACAGCCTTAGGCCAGGCCTACAGTCTAGCCGCTATGATGCCACAGCTGCGCTGTTGTAATCCCATAGTGTACAGCGCCGGACGGGGTTGTTCCTTTGCTGTAGGAACTCTGCTTCCCTCAATGATGGTAGCTAGGTCCATGGAAGCATTTTTCCATCGACCTACCTGTATCTACACCCAGAGTTAGGTTGGCAGATGATGTTCCCCACCTCCGAGCACGGCAGCTATGCCGACCTAAATATGAAGCGTAGACAGGCCATCAACTCCTACTTCTGTGGGGATTTGCACTGTAGTCCCAGTAACCCTGCTTCACTGCAGTCATGTCAGCCAGCAGATGCCCAGGTGCCACTAACAAACTCATACTCCAGCACCCATTAGCCATGCATGGGAATCCGTCCCTTGGGTACCCCCTGGAATCTCCTCTTGTTCTGAGCATTCATTCTGACAGCCTCTAGATGAAACAACAAGACGACTCTCCTCCCTCCCACAAAAAAACAAGTGGAGCATGCTCGGAAACTCCCAGGGTTACGCCCGATACAGAGCACTGGTCGCTGGGCATAGTGCTCTGCATGGATGTATGTTTAAGATTCCAGTGAAAGGTGCTGTTTTTCCAATGCGCCGTACAGTAATAAGCTCTGGTTAAAGAGAAAAGGCAGCTATGCAACAATGCTCAGGGTGGATTAGTTTAATTATACACCTGTTCACTAATGGTCGTCTCTAGTTCCTCGGGCAAAGTGCAGGAGGACTCTGATAGAAGGTTCCTTCCAATTATTTCATTCTGCATACCAGAAACTGAGCTCGCATCTGTAGTCCTGTCAATTTTTTGTACTTGGGGCAGAACCTTGTTTGGGATGGAGCTGTTTGACAGGTTGGATTTATCTTGCTGTTGTGTGTTCCAGCTGGTAACCAGACCACTAAGGCAGCTGTAACCAGTTAGCTGTGTCGTCCACCTGGTGGCTGGGCTCAGGGAGTGCACATCTTACATATCGTCATAACTGACGCTCGATCCAGGACTCTCTGTCCCCTGGCAGCATGTCTAGTAGATAAGTCAATACAGGTCCTCTCTCTGTGTGGTTTCAGTCCTGTGTTAGCCTTTTCGTAGCAGGAAGTTACTATTTGTCGTCTGTTCTGGTCAGGTTCTTACGCCATGCCTGTCGCTTTGGTATGGTATCTTATGATGGAGATAGCTTCGTGGTGGGCATAGTATAAGTGGAACAATTGCTTCTTTGAAAGGAAGAGAGGCTATTGCTAGTACATAATATTTCCTTACCTGTGGCAAACTTCTTCACTTCCTCTCCTGCCAGTGAGTCAAAGACCCGGACTTCGCTGACATAGCCCTGCTCGCACAGCAGCTCCACAATGTGCTCCCCAATGAAACCACATCCTCCCGTCACCAGGTATATCAGTGCCTCACCCATCCTGGAGAGAGGAGCAGGTGCAGTAGAGAGGTGCTCCCAGGAGCCTCTCAAACGCTGACTGGGCTCTCCCTCTTGGCAAATTCATTTAGAGAACAAAGTCTAAGGTTTAATAGTTATCTAGAGTTGAACTGAACATGAACCTCAAAGTTGTGTGTCGATGAAAATTTGAACCACAGCACAGAGTCCCCGAACCCCCCCAGATGCTGCAGTACTATGTCCAGTCGAGCCCTGGGCCACAGGGCTCAGCCTGTCCCTCTCATGGGAATACCCCAAGATGTGCTCCTGTGCTGTCTCCCCGCTCTCTGTTGGAATGAGACAGGTTTTCTGCATGCAGAAAGGTCTTAAATTCCAAACACTTGCACAGGCTTTTCCCTTCGAGGCAGATCTGCCCTGTGGGCCTGATTCTGAGTCACTCTGGAGTAGATCCACAAAGGGAATTCAACATGTAACTGCTACGTTAGTCACCTAAAACCAACATTTAGATCCCTAACCCCCCAAGCCCCTCAGCTGCCACCTAACCCTGTAGGTGCCTACCTTTCTGCTGGTAAAGTCTCCATGGTGCCTGCATTTCTGTCACACTGGACATGTTTGAAGTCCCTGTGGGATCCTTAAACTAGGCATTCCCTTGCTTATCTGGCCTGCTCAGAGATCACCTACTGGATCAGGCCTAGCACAAAATGGTGATGGTGGTGGTGTCAGTGGACCCCTTTATCACTTTCAGCTCAGCAGTTGGAGCACTCACCCAGGATGCAGGAGACCCAGGTTCAAATTTCCCCTCTACCTGATGGTAGATTCTGAGCATTGCAATGCCTGAGTTCCTCTTGTGAATATCACCCTTAGTCTTTCCCTTCCCCATCTGAAACATGGGGATAATAGCACTGTGCTGCCTCACAGGCCTGTCACAAGGATTAATAGTCTAAACGTATGTCTACGCTGCAATAAAACACCCAGCGAGGCAGGAGGGTCTCAGAGCCCAGACTCCAGATCAAGCTCAAATGTCTACGCTGCAATACTCTAGTCCCACAAGCCCGAGTCAGCCGAGCCAGGCCAGCTGTGAATGTTTCATTGCAGTGAGGAGACACTGTAGTAGCTGGTGCCACCAGGGTAAGCAAGAGAGCCACACAAGTGCTGCAGGGGCAAGGGTGGTTACATCAGGCAGCCTTGATCATGTCCCTATCAGTGTTGCAAGGAAGAATGTGATGAGGTGGAGGCCTTGAGTTTGGGTTCATTGACATTTTCTTTTGTTTACGTGATGTGCTCAGCCTTAGCTGGAGGACGGGGCTCTCGATAGCTGCAATGTAACCATGCCAGCATGAGTCTGGGAAACCTGCCAACTGCTGTTTTGAATGTGGGTGAATGGTCTGGAGAGAGGGATGACCAGCCTCCAGGATTGCCCTGGAGTCTCCAGGAATTAAAGATTGTCGTGATGAATCCTCCAGGAATACGGCATTGGCAGTCCTGGCTGGAGAACAAGATGTAAATGCTGCCAGCCCCATTCACACCAGCATAAATGAGTAACAACACCACTGCAATCAATGACCCGGAACCTTTGCTCTAGCCAAAGACCACGGAGCGCAGAGCAAAAGGGAGAGAGCCAATGGAGAGTTTTACATTCTCCAAACCCCGGTGTCAGCTGGGCACAAGGTCTCCAACAGGCTGATACAGCAGCCAGGAAGCAGTGGGGCTTGTGTGGCCTCCCTTGGCCACAGCCTGTATTTCAGCAGCAGGGAGGGCAAGAGGTGTAGGAAGAGCTGTGTCACCTGAACACCACTGGAGGATTCCGCTACACCAGGGTGCCTCTTGCGGCTGGCTGTGCGGGGTGAGGGCTGCTTTGTGCACCTAGTGCAGTACAGGATTTGGGCCAGTCAGGTTTACGCATGTGTGAATTGGGTGCTGTCTGTGTGAATGACTTGGCAGGAGAAGTACACGAGAGAGCAGAGCTGCAAATGGAGAGAGGCGGGGCGGGGAAGGACGATTTTTTCTCTTTGCAATAGCTGCGATAGTGGGCGTAATCTGCTCCCTTCCAGAGACAGAACATTTGCTCTCCAACTTTATTTGTACAAGCCCCAGGGATGTTGTATCTGACCAGGATGATTTAGCATCATCCAGAGGGGGGGTTAACTCCACCCGAGGCAATGAAATCACTCCAACCTGCCTTCAGTTACCAAGGGCCTCCATGAACACCACACTGTGATTCTGCTACTAAAGGTGACACGTGGAATCTGTAAATTTGTCATCTTGATCTCAGTCAGGAAACTAAGAACTGGGCTGAGTCCCTCATTCATGTCCCTGTTACAAGGAGACAGAGGTTCTTACAACCTTGTACGATACTACGAAAGGCAGTGAAAGAAAGTGAAAGTGGCAAGAAAGAGAGATTTAAGCCTTTGGGAAGAGAATCTGCCTGAATCAGCCAAAGACCTTGAAATACAGGCTACGACATGCCATGTTCACTTACAGTATGTTTATTTCTCAGTGCATTACATGAAAGGTCTTCGGTATTTGTGGGTTCTTGAATATTGTTCCCACTCTGCTCTGTTTAAAAAAACAAAAACAAAACAAAAAAATGCTGAATACAAAACATTCCCTATACAGTAACAAACCCCATCGCCAATAAAGAGAAATAGATACCGTGAACAATAATATGGCAATATGAAAACAGAGAAGTAACCATGCAAGATCTGGAGCTAACAGGTTGGGGTTTTTCTATTTGTCCTTTAGTGAAGTCTGATGACAAACGTTGGAGCCTGTCAGAAATGAGTTCATTTGTTGTTGTTCTGTTAAAAATTACACACAATCACAAGATACAGTATGTGACTTCACTATAAAAGATCAAATGATTGTAGAATTTATTACAATTAGAAAAGCTGGGACCCCTTGCACACACACAACACACGGCTATAAATAAAAAAAGTACTGTGTAAAATAACGTGAAAAAAGTTCACGTTTTCTTCTATGATTGGGAATGTGTTTCATGGACATTTATAGCACCTTTGATTCGCTTGATTTCAGAATAAGTAGTTTAACCCCCCCTTCCCCCCACCCCAGTGCTGGAGCAGAATGGAATGTAATCTTGAATAATACAGAGGTCATAATTGTGGACTAGAAGGGATTTCCAATTAGTCACTTGAGAACCTACCTTCATGTAATCCCAGAATTAGTTTGTCTGTCTGCCTTCCTGAAGTCATAGGTGTAGTTGATGGGTTTCTACTTTAACAACGTTTATTCTATAGATTGGATCTGGGATTTTGGTTCAGTGCCAAAGGTTGTGAGCCAGATCTAGTGTAAATAGTCATAGTTTCACTGACATCACTGGGCCTGTCCCAATTTACACTAACTGAAGATCTGGATTTGAACATGTGGCCTATTCTTGCTCCCATTAAAGTCAATGGCAAGAGCTCTGTGGACATCAGTGGAAGCAGGATATGACCCTTATCTCTAGCTTATTCCTGTTTTCCTGCATTGCTGTCAAGTCTTTAGAATAAATGTGTATTGGATACTCTGGAGTGAAGCATTCTCTATTTCCCAGGAGGGTACCAGAGCACTAGTGAAAGTTGGGGTGCATAAATGACAACGTATTATACTGTGCAATATGCAGCCATGGCTTCTGGGTAGCGCAAGGCAGGGAACATTTTTTTTTCTACTACCAGAACCAATCCAAGTTGAAAAGTATGGGAGGTCAGAGAAGTACTTTAAAAATCCCAAAGAAGTCTTAACAAAGGCAAAAGAACACACTATGGTAGTGCACAGCATGTATGTAAGATAAAGCACTAACATTTCAATTAAAGTATATTTCTAAATTAGCACGCAAATGAAATATGTCCACCCCCTAAATTACACAGAGATGGTAAAATGCATATGCCCAGGCTAAAATGAATCTTAGTATCCTGCCTAAGAGGGAAAATGTGGTTGGAGTGGTTTATTTTAGTCACAAATATCATTCATGTCAACATATGAGGTTATGGTCACCTTTATAACTTTTTTTTTTTAACTAAGACTGCATCACAATGTGGTCTAATTGATTTATTAGTGAGGAATTAAACCCTAGTCCAGTGACAATGTCCACACTATATGGTCCTATCGTTACCCAGATTAAAGATACAGTACCACATTAATAGATAGATGTAGCTAAGCAAAACAAGGAGTCTTGGGAGCAAAGAATTACATAGGTCTTCATAGAAATCTGTGAAAGTTGGTAATTAAAATGGTGTTGCAATCTGAACCTAAACCTGCCTTCTGACAATCAATCTGCGAGGATTAATTGCAAACCATTTCAATTAACTTTTTCATTTTACCACTACGTTGTTCTAAATAATTTAATTAAAACCCAGTGTGCTAGTCAAATGCGAATCAACTAAAGAGATTACTCATCAAGCTAATGCAATTGTTTTTTAATTCCCAAATACTAAGTTGTGGGAACAAAAACTGTCCCCTTTAACTCATTTGGGGGACTCCAAAATCTCAGGGAACTACTAATTGGACCTACACTGCCTAACTTCTCTCCCCCTTCCCAAATTACCTCCATGAGATCATCAAAACGGAATATTGGTATTTCCCTTTTTAAATATCAGGTAGGAGGGTTGTTTGGCTTTGCCACTGGGTCCTGCTATGGGAAAACTCTTCCCTAGTGATCAGATGAAATGCAGCTCACACCAGTATAAATCTTTTGATCAAACGGTGATTTCTCATTATGCCTTAAGAAACAATTTCCTGAACGCTCACTACTAGACATGAGGGTAATTAGCACTCTGCCTGGTAAGCGGTACAGGATAGGACCCCAGATTATCTATCAACAGAAGTAACCAGGCACCTCTTGTAAATTTCTAACCAGTGGCTGACTTATCAAAGCCTGTTGTAGTCAACGAGTTTTTCCTAAAAGGAAACAGACCAGTCCAAGAACAAAACTAGTGCAAATATGGCATGGCTGTGTTATAAAACAGCTGCCCCTCAACAAGACTTCGTGGTCTAAATTCCCTTTATACAACTCCATTCCACCTCAGTTAGTGAATGGAAGAAAATGGTCACAGGGCTTTTGATGTTTGTTTGTCTACCAGATGTCTTGGTAGAGTTGTGCTCTTTGCATTTGTTTGTATTTAGACTGAGAGATGGCTGCCAACTATTTCTAAAAGATACTGATCTCATTCAGAATTGTGTATATACACAAAGTCACTGGATGTAGCCGTGGGCTTGCAACTAACATCTCCTCTGAAGGCCTCATTTTATTGTCCTAGAAGTCACACCAGCGTGTGACCATTGCTCTCGATCAATGCCTTACTGAGATTGACAAACCCTTTTATTCGCTCCAGGCTGGGTTATTGCTCCCTGTTTACCTGTATCACATCAACGCTACAACTAACCCAGAATGCAATGTACACAACTGCACAGGAGCCAAACATCTGCTTTTTATGGTTGCATCTCCTAAAGTGTTGCACTGAGTTTAAAGTTCTTTGAAGTCTCTGATGGCTTATGGGGATTAGCACCTGATCGTATTTTGCTTTGCCTCCACATTTTGGGCTGATTTAACTTGCCCAATCACTACCTTAAATGGATCCAAGCAAGGATCTTACTATACCCCTTGACTATGGAATGTAGCCCTAACTGTTATTCACAATTTCCTAGTCGGTACCAAAATTCAAAAGTATGTTAAGGAAATAAATTTACTGCAGCTTTTGGTCCTTCAGTGGCTGTTCATATTGTTTAACTGTACAGCACGGGGAGATTTCTCTGGGAAGACCACATTATCAGCTCAAGATGTTGCTTTTTGTTATGTCATCAGCTTCCCCCGTCACCTATTCTTTGCAAAATGGTGGTAGTTTAAGGATGTAAATCCATTCACTTGGGGTGAGTTTTAAACTATTTGTGGCTGGTGATACAATGCTGTCTAGAGGCCTGATATGGATGTTTTGATATAGTTATCAGTATCGCTGTAGACAGAGAGTGTGTGTGCACATGTACATACATAAATATCTCACACCAGAGCCTGAACCCCTTAGTCTAGGCACAGACTACATCCACTGGAGTGCAAGATTCCAGTTTTCAGCATTCCACCTGCCTCCATGCTGACCTAGGAGGACCACCTTTAGCAGTAAGAGGGTACTTCTGTCTCCACGGGCCATTCAGGCCTTGGTCTCTCTGTTGAGGTTGCCAACAAAGGTGCTAATGAATTTCAATGGTGGCTTTTTGATGTAGATACATTTTGCACTAGGAATGAGCCTGAGTGATGCTATGAATTTACTTAAGCCACCAAATAACAGACACAACAACATTTGTTCACTAGTGCCTTGGAGAGGATTTGAACCAGTGACTGAACAGTGAAAACAATGAGGAGTCCTTGTAGCACCTTAGAGCCTAACAAATTTATTTGGGCATAAGCTTTCGTGGGCTAGAACCCACAGTGAAAGATTCTGTAACCTATTATCAGTTGCCTTGGTCATTCACTCCTGCTATTAAAAAAAGTAATTTAATTGTCTACATGAGTAACATTAACTTGTCCAATTTGTTTGTGAAATTTCTGTTCAGCCTCTTAACAGTGGAAGTCTGTTTCCCCAATAACAAGAGCTATTGCAAAATGATGTTATCTTGTAGCAAAATGTTCGAAGACAAACCACTGGCAAGAGTCTAATCCTTCTACTGTGTTTTGCCAACACACCACCTCCAGATTCAAACTAGTAGGAGATGATGGATACTTTTAAAAATACCCACAATATAAAGAAAACTATATATCAATAGTTCCGGCTTACGATCTAAAGCTGGGTAAATACTGCAAAACATTTTCAGTGCAGATTTGTTCCGAATAAGAAATGAATTTTTCTTGGCTGTGTTTATACCTATTTTGTGTTCATTTTATGCAAACTTTATACAATTTTATCTTGCTTCCTATGAATGTTTGCAACAAGAATGTTGATCTTGAATATGCACAAAAAGCAAATTTTACATTCTGTAATTATTTATACCAGAAACCTTGATAGTAAGCTGTTCATGCAATCAGGGAACAGAAGGAATACCACAAGGTCTATATGACACCATTCACACAATCAATCAACACAGCTCAAATCCCTGATTTAAAATTTCAGTCAGAAAGCCCAAGGGTAAATGAAATTTGCCAAATTCAAATTTGTTGTGAATAGCCAACACCTCTGAGACAAATCATGATCTGTTGAAAGATACTCCACAGAGAGAGATGAAATTTGTCAAATAAGTGATTAGTTCTTAGTTTTTCAATCTACTCTTTAAAAAGAAACATTTCCATGGCTTTAGTGGAGTACTGAAAGGGGTATCTTCAACTGGAAATTATAGTGTGAACACAAAAAACATGTTTAAAAATAACCAGATGCCATCAAAATAGTATAATGTTGCTCAGGGCTTTTGCTTTGAGCTAAGGTAGAACTGAATGATGTCTGAGCCAGCTGTGCAGTCTTTTAAACAAATAATTTTTGAGGGGGAGGATCAAACCCCTTGAACAGGGCCATTTCCAGGGATAGCTTTTAAGAATACCTGCCATTTGGTGTATTCTGAAGTAGGGGGGGAAGAGAACTGTAGCTCAAATATTTTTATGAAGAGCAAATCAAGACATTCCCTGCAGTAATGGTTTAGCAGTGTCCAGGCAAGGAAACCCTACTGCTAACCCTGCAGCCTCCTACCCACTTCCTTCTGCACACTGTGATTAAGCACTAGGATACTGTATCTTTAATCAGCGAATGGGCTTTAGAATGCACAAATGCTCCTGTTTCATTCAGTTGCTTTTCCTTTTGGCTTCGCTGTCTTCCAGCAGCGAAGAGAGGAACTGATAGGGCTGGTGCCGCTGCTCACGGCCACCGCGTTTGATCTTGATGCTCGTTCGTAGGGAGGAGCCTAGGATCACTTCCTGCCCTGAGCCCGGCTCCATGGAAGATAAAGAATCTGAAAGGAGATAAAGCCAAGGGAGAGTTTACTCTCCTATTATGGAGGAAACAAAGTCCCTGCCCTTCTTACACTTCTCTCCTTCCCTTCAATGTCCCCTCTCCCTTCGCTTTTCTTTCCATTTAGCTGGTGCACTCCTAATGCCTCACTTCCCAAAACAAAAAAAGGAACTAACGTGACCTTTGCCACTATCCCATTGCTCACTTTGCTTGTGTATCATACCCTGTCCCCTGTTTCATTGTAGATTGTAAGCTCTTTGGGGAAGGGACTGCCTACTACTCTGTTTGTACAGCACCTAGCACAGCGGGGTTTGTTCTCAGCTGATCCTTCAGCAGCTCCATAATCAACACGATTAACATAACAGCAATACCTTGTGGTCCTTAGTTGTCAGCAGTTATAGAAATGCCAAGGGTCATTTAAACACTCATTGAGCAAACATGAAGACTCAACACTCCTAAGGAGTTACTAAGTATCATTCTACACATGTTAGAGATGGGGAAACCAAGGCACAGGCACTTACCCCAGCTCACACAGCTAATTAGCTACCGCTGGCAATAAATCCCAGCAGTCTAGTCTCCCAGCACCTTAGACATCAGGCCATGCTTCCTCTTATGGTGAGGAGCCTTTCTACAATGATCCTGCCCCATAATGCTAATTGTACATTTGGTCTATGGCCAAAGTCCTTTTCAAGTGCTTAGACACAGAAACCCATAATGCTGACTCTCCAATGTTAATGCCCCTGTTTCTTTTCCTTTTGCCCTCAGTAATGGACACTTGTTTGTTTCCCTGCCAAGAGCCCAGCCTTCCTACCCAGACCTCCAGCTCACATCAGGCAGTATTTCTAATTCAAGCGAGTACCCCAGTGCATAGGGATTGGTGCTGCGCTAGCTGGAAATAAGCATTGCCAAAACTGGGCTTTTCCTGGGTCCTGCTGTTCTGTTCTGTAGGGCTGGTCAATACGCTCCGATTATCTCAAGCTTCCAGCCTGTTGCGTGGGGAAAAGTTTGTGTTGGTATGTTTTGCTTTGTTGCTTGGGTGGTGGTTCTGGTTTCCAAAACCACGTGGATTCTGGCGCTTTGTCTGACAATGATAGCATGTAATTGGCATTTTGGCTTGGGTCTCCTGCACTGATGTCAATGGCAAAAATCTCAGTGCCCACAGCGGGAGCAGGGTCGGATCCTTAGCGCCAGCTGATTAAAATTGTGGGTGGCCTCACAGCTTGGGGGGCTGTCTCCGCTCAATAAAAATCAATTTCACTACAATAGAACCACTGCATGCAAACAGCTCTTTCTTTGCACTCTATGGTTGTACTAGTTTAATGAAAGACACTGGATTTGACCCTAAGCAGCTTCCAGCATTCAACCTTCTCTTTGGCCTTAAAGAGTGGACAAGAAGGTCTGTAATACCAATTATTTATAAAAATAGGTTAGTTAGTTGGGAAAATTTAAGATGAATTAACTCCCTTTGTCACTGTATCACAAAGCTTTGTTTTGCAGCATGAATGGCAAATAACCAGATCTGGCTTCCAGTCCATTTTTAGGTGCAATTTACGTTATTGGTCTTAATCTCTACAGCCTACATTGCTCTAGGTCCTACAAACCTTAACTGTCTCCCAGCAGTTGAGATCAATGGAGGTGCTCGAGCTAATTAATCTAAATGTCTGGGAGCAGGGCCTCCTCTGTGAGTGGCACTCAACTCTAGACCTTGCTTTCCCCTCTCTGATCGGACAGGCTGCATGCCAGAGCCTATTTGTGGAGGCCTTTCCCATTGAGTTGTCTTGGGGGAGGCAGGGGGTGTCAGCCTTTAAATGACGCAGGGTCGATTTTGTGATGTATTTATGTTTTTAAATTGTACATAAACATAGAGATTGAGGCAAAGTTTGGAAATTAAATATAAATACAAGTCCTATATTGGTAAATCACCCCTTAACCAACACTATTACACTGCTATAAAATCTGTGTGTAGTAGACCAAGCCAAAAAGTGAATCAGTTCACTCAACTCACTGTGCCCAGTTTTCCATTGCCCTGCACCTTCAAGTCATTTACACCAAGGCCAAGTGGGTGTTAAAATCCTGCCTTTCCCCTTTACGCTAGTATAAATGGATACACAAGGTAAAGGGCACTGGAGAATCACACCCAATGCAAAGTGCTTGGAGCTTTAGACTGCCTGAGTATTCTTCGAAAGGAAACTGTCCGTACAATGCATGCTAGATTTTGCTAGTGCAGGCCTATGCAAGTCAGGAGTTGACGCTATCACTGGTAATGCTGAGGTTGTCAAGTGCTCATTCATGTTCTAGCCGTGCTGTAAATATTTTGCAAATTCCTTCTCTCACTGAACTATCAAGTACATTTCCCAGGGTGCTGAACAGCTGGGAGGGCGGGTAACTATTCCTGCTGTCAGATTGTTTTAGAACATCTTTATGTCCTCAACTTTAAGGCAGTTGTGTATCAAATTAATTTAAATCTTATTATGTTGAGAGAACAACAGGCCTATATAAAGCCCTACGTTTTCTGGCTACCTTCTTGACTTTGTGTGACCCCAGGAAGAGCATGAACAGCTATACAGTGGATTTCCTCCTGCATAATCTCTTGCTTGTCCCTGGTGCTTGAACACTGTGTTGCCCCTCCCCCGTTTCTTAGTTATTTGTATTATGGTTGCACCTAGAGGCTCTAATTACAGGACCGTGATTGTGCTATTCAAACACAGGGTGAAAAACAGTCCCTGCCCAGAAGAGTTTACAATCTAAGACAAGATGCACAAAGTGTGAGGAACAAGTCAGGAGGAATGGGGGTGGGGAGGACAAAGCAAACTAATACATTCACGGGTTAAATTGCCAAAAGTGCCTAAGTCCTATTTTTGAATGTGACAGGGATTTAGCAGCCTGAGTTTCATTGATTTTTCAATAAGACACATGCTCTAAGTACCTAAGTCACTTTGAAAATTTCACAGAAGCCATATAACTATCAGAAGTCCCCACGGGCTGTTATCTGTTGCCAGTTTCACAAAGATGTCCCCATGGGAGTGGATCTTGCAGAGAGATTTGAAAGAGGGCAAAGCAGTCCTTGCTTTATGGATGAGGCGAGGACAAGGGTGCCAGCAGCAGTAAATGGTGTTTGGCCAAGAAGCATGCATGTTGGTGCCAAAAGCCCCAATCAACCTCTCAAAGGCACAGAGAGAACATAATTGTGAACAGATCCAAAACATTTTCCCCTTGCTCCAACTATTTCTGTAGGAAAAAAATTATGCAGAGCAAGCTATGCATCTGTCAATGCATTGGAGTTCCTGCCCCAAACCACGTGATTTCTCTTTGTTGCATCAGCAGCAGAGAAAACTCAGATGTGTGAGAAGCAGAAAACCCCCTTCCCTCTGATGAAAGGCCTGTGGCAGTGGTGGGGAGGGAAATGGCTCCAACTGAATCACTCAAAATATTGAGTCCTTCACTAAGAGTCTCATGTTTCCAAAAATCAGTGTTCTCTGAATTTTAATCAGGGGAGCTGCCTGGATTATGGACTTGCGGGCTAGCTGGCTTGCACTCCCTTTCAGAGTGAGGCCTGGCCCCTTCTAGGGTCCGTCAGACATGACGAATACTAAAAAGGCCAGATCCTCAGCTGATGTAAGTGAACACAGCTCCACTGAAGTCAGGGGACTGTGGTGATTGATAGCAGCTGAGTATCCGGACCAAAGACTCTGCAATGAGAACATTTTTGTAGCGGTTACGTGATGCAGAACACAACATGGCTTGGTCTGCTGCTGAGCTGGCTCTGTACTACGGATTATAATACCAATGTGTCGGTGGGGCGTATTGTGCACTAGGGTGAAGACCGAGAAACTCCATTGAAGCCCATAGCTGCAGGTGCTCAAAGTGTAAAACTCAGCCACTTTGATCACCTCATTATGGATTTAGGAGCCTAACTTTAGGCACCTACTTTTAAAATCCTGAGCTAACCAGCTACTGAGCTGAACTACACTGAGCCCTAGAAGCCAGCCGCTCATTGAGAGAGAGGGTGAAAAGAAAAGTCATATTCTAGGAGTCTAGAACTAGCCAATTCTAGAGCTGTTAGATAGTGTGGGAACAGAGTGACATCTAACTTCTCCAGAAAAACAAAGTTTAGTCACAGGCTGAGACACACTCACCATGAATTCCTATCATATGCTCTAGAATTAACACCCTCTCAGCTAAAATCTTCAGGGCTTCTCGAAGTTGTTGAACTCCTTCTCCCTGCAAGAAGGAAAAAACAAAATAAATAATGTACCTATGCTGCAGACATATACAGAGGTTTCAAGTTTATAATGCAATCCTCCAAGACTACAGTGCTAATGTAGCCCCTGAAACTGCTAATGATTTCACAAAACAAAACCAGGTTGCAAATCTGTGGAGAACAGGGAGAAGTCTCAAAAACAGCCAAAGGAAAGCAATGAGGCAAAAAGCCTCAATTATAAACCCAAATTCTGGCATCTCTAAAATACTGAAGAGGTTTAGAGCCAGATCCAAAATTTTCAGCTGGGTCCTATTTCAATAATGGGCCAAACCAATAGCCATGCAAATCTGAACATTGTCAAACTGTGAGGCTTGGATTCAAACTATGTGGCTTGTGCCCATTTCCACAGTCCACTGCACTATTTACTTTACAATTCAAATATTCCTTGCTAAGCAGATCTGACATTTGTTCTGGCCTGGCTTTCCCTGCCCTGACATTGTATCACCAAACTGAAAAATGTCGCAAGAACCCCTTTCCTTGCCATTTTGTGAAATTATCTGAGTAGTAGCGTGGGTTTGGGGAAGAGAGTTGTCTCTTTCTTGGTTGGGTCCCAAATATCTTACTCTTGATTATTTAATGGTAAAGTAAGGGATCAGCAGGCAAGCAGGAGCATGCTGTTGAAAAAACAAAATCAGACCTTGTCAGGGGGTCATATTCTACTAGATGTGGGATCAGATAGGTAGAAAGGATGGTCTAGTTGATAAGGCACTGGACAATGACAAGATTCCCAACTCAGCCACTGCCTTCCTCGTCACCTTGGGCAAGTCTCTGAATCTGCCCTGGGCCACAGTTCCCCATCTGTAAAATGGGGATAATAGCGCTGCCCAATCTCACAGGGGTGCTGTAAGGATATATATCCATTGATAATTGTATGGCAATCAGACACTGATCAAGCCAAAAACATTTGGATCCAGATTTTGACCATGCCAGTGCCCATGGATATTTGAATCAGAGGTTAATGCCACCTCCATCGTCTGCTCTTTTATCTTTGCAATCCCCGCACTCCTCCATTTACATTACTGGGAGTCCTGCACACAGAACGAAGACAGTGTTTTCTCCCCTTGGGACCATACCATCTTTTCACCAATAGAAAATCCAGGTAGCAGTAAAAAAGTGTTTTCTTACATCAGCCCCTTTATCTCCTTCTTCACCCTTCTTGCCTGGTTCACCCTAAGATGAGACAAACACATTTCCATGTAAATTAGGAGATTTGCCATCCAAAATCATTCAAATCCCCTCCCTCAATAAAGCCCCATCAGCAGAAAGCAAATTGAAATCACAATGCATGTCATCTGTTCTTTCAGACAGGGCCAAATTCAGCTCTGACATAAGTGGTAACAGCTCCTCCCCCGCCCCTGGCAAAGCCAGCAGAAGTGTCTACCTATTTACATTACACCACAGCTGAACTTGGCCCACAGTGACCTGAGCTATATGATGTTTGCATTGCAATGAACCATTGTCCGATTGCTGCAGCCAGGGACCTTGACCAAAACCACGTGTGTACTGTGAGGCTTTCCCCGTAAGCAACGCTTTACGTTAAAACCAGTATGGAGTTAACTATAACCACCCCCAAACATGCACACTTTGCCTCTATGTTTATTTTTCCAGAAAAATTCATATCCACTACACAAGAGGTCCCATTAATTAGCCACATCACCCACAACCTCTCTACAAGAGCTCATTAACTAGGGATCTTTCTTCAGTAAAAATGTATTGTGACAGTTTGTCTGACATTCCTTCCCCTGCTGCCCACTCATCTAATCAGGAAGTGTCTGCATTTCCCAAGCAGCAGATGGCATACACAGAGTAAACCACAAGCTAAATAAAGAGCAATGGAAAGGTCCACAAACTGCTGAGTAAGGTGGCTGGGATGAGAACTTGGCTCCTCAGCAACACTGGGCATTGCAGAGACATTTCAAGCGGAGCAAGATGACAGAGTTGGGAGAGACCCATGTCAGGCAAAACAAGAGCCCTCTTACCTTCCTCCCCTTCCCCCCTCCCCCCCCAACATTTCCACTCAAACGGAATTCAACTTTTTGTTGGATTCACTCACTTCTCCCTAATATTTTTCATTTTCATCAGAACTGCACATGTAAATGCCGTCTTAGCTTGAGAGACGACGTCCCAGATCTAGTGGGAGAAAGCCTGTTCTCAGGAGACTTCCAGCCCAGCCTCACAGAGAAAGGAGGTTTGGAGAGTTCAGGCTTGCCGGTGGAATTTCGATGGCTTAGCCACAGGGCAGATGGTCTGTCCAGGGTTCCAACGTGTGAGGCAGCTTTATAGTTCTGTCAACAGGCGGCCTGGTAGGAGGCAGCTCCTGTGGGGCTGTGCTGAATTAGCATGTCCTTCCTGCTTCATTGGCAACAACTCCTTCAGGATCATTGCTGCCCACTTGTGCCCCCTCCCCTGGCAATAGGAAGGTTTCATCCACCTTGCCACAGCTCCTCTCAACCCTCTTCATGCCAGCAGAATGTTAGCAGAAGCCAGCCTGGTAAGACTGTAAAGCACTTTGCAGCAGAGACAGAACAAAGAGACTGTTTGTACAGCACTTAACACAACGGAGTTGTGATCCGTGACTGGGTCCACTAGGCACTATCACAATACAGATAAGTGTAGACGCGAGAGAAAATCTGGCCTCATTGGGGTAAAGCAGAGGTATGGTATGTCAGATCTATCTTCTGCACAAATCTTTTGCTACTAATTTCTCACTCCTGAGGGTAGAACTAGGGTTGGTTGGAGCACTCCTCTTCTTCACAGGCTCTCTTTGCTAGACTACGAGGCCCACTCCTAGATCCATCAAAGAGATGGAGAAGACCTATGAGATCATGCAGTCCCGCTCCTCAACCCCAGGGCAGGTACCAGGTATTTTCTACTGCTTTGTGCACTTGAATATAAAGTGTAGCACTGAAATGCAATGTTTCATTTGCACAGATCTCTGAGATGCTGTCTCCTGACCTGGATGTTGTAGTACCACTCATAGTCCAGCCAGGTGGTATTTAAGGTGCTGGACATGACATACACACCCCATCTGTGTGTGTGTGTGTCTGTCTCTCTCTCTCTCTCTCACGCACACATACAACACTTACAGGCAGTCCCTTATTGCCCCTCTCTCCAGACAGACCTGCTTGCCCCTGTTGGAAATAAAGCAAGTGTCATTTTTTTTCCATTTGATGAGAACAAAATGTAATTTAACCAATGGAATTAAAATGGCTTAACAAATAAAGGCATGAGACAGCATGGAAGTTCTTTTCCCTTAATGTTCTAGCTTTCAGCATTCAAGCAGGCAGGAAAATGGGCAATAGCTCTCAAACACTAGTTCTGAATCCTTGCAACATTTGGGGAAGTTTGGTTCAGGATCTCAGGATGAGCTTTGTAAAATGGATTTGCATCCTCTTGAACTTTAGAGAAGTCAACTACATTAAAGCGGGGAGAAATTTGGCCCTAGAGTTTTTTCCCCAAAATACAACATTCTTCCATCTAGTATAATGGATAGGCTAAGACTGCTCAGCCTTCGCCATTGAACAAAAGACTCTGCAATATCTAATTATGATTTTCCCTTAAAACTTCATCACATACCCATCTAGTCTCCTTCTGCACACATGCTCACCCTCTTATCCACAACTAGAACGACTAAATTTCTCTACATAGATTTTTTTTGATGAAAAATGGCTTTTTGAATTATACAATTTTTTTTTCATATTCTAAATTTTCTGGGGCGGTTTTGGGTGAAACTATTCAAAACAACAGTTTCAAACCTATTTGAAAAATATTTGCTTTGATTCAAATCAAATAGAATCAAAATGGCCATTTTTTGTTTTGTTTCCTTTCCTCTACTGCCTTTTCCTCCCTTTGCCCTCTTTTTCCCCCCCTGGAAAAGAGGGGTGTACCCCTACCGTGAATTTTTGTAAAATTTAGATTGATTTCAAGTTGGCTCAAAATTATTTTTTCAAGAAAATCGGAAACATTTCAAACGAACTGAAAAACTCATTTCATTCTAAATATTCTGAAGAATATAATTTCCATTTTCTGACCTGCTATATCCACCCCTTCCACATCCCCCCCTTTTTTTTTTTTTTGCTGCTTCGAACCTTCCAGCTGGATGTAGGTTTTTGCATTTGCCAGAGAAGTAAAGCTACCTTTTCATATATATATATATAATTTTTTCCAACCTTTTCTTCACTGGTTTTATATGAAGAACCAATTTGGAACAAGATACTATATCAAAAACACTGCATTTGAGAGACCTGTGCAACGCTTGGTGACCACTGCTGGCAGAACTATATACTGATGAGAAGGAGAAAATATAATAAGGCCCAACTCTCCCCACCAAAAGAATATGAGTTGCTTAGATCCTGCATTGGGTGAATCAGGCCCATGCAAAAGTATAAGCAAGCAGCAATTCACTGAACTAAAGTGGCAGGAGGTACATCGTTGGAACAATTTACCAAAGGTCACTGTGAATTTTCCATTGTTGACCATTTTTAAATTGAAATTGGATGCTTCTAACAGTTCTGCTCTGGTCATTATGTTGGGGAAGTTGTACGGCCTGTGTTATAGAGGAGGTCGGACTAGATGATCACAATGGTCCCTCCTGGCCTTGGAATCTATGAATCAAGACTCTTGTTTATCCTCAAATATGGATAGTAAGATAGCCCCTTCCTGTTGTTCTGCTCTGGCCTTCATCAGCTTACATAGTCTCTGCACTTTGTCCTTGTGATGCCAACACTAATTCAAAGGTGCAGCATGCACTTCCCCCTACAGACTGATGATAAAAGCAGCGTGGGTGGCCAGGGATTTCATGACCATAAGCCAGCAGATATTATCTATATAAAAAAGCCTGCACAATGTCTAGAATGATTTTTCATTGACTTGGAAAGAGCATTTATATGGGTGAACAAAAAGGTAAGACTATAAGAATGGCCATACTGGTTCAGACCAATGGTCCATCTAGCCCAGTGTCCTGTCTTCTGACTGGCCAGTGCCAGATGCTTCAGAGGGAATGAACAGAACAGGGTGATTTTGAACAGCCCCATTCATACAGGCCCAGCTTCTAGTAGTTGGAGGTTTAGGAACACCTGGAGCATAGGATTGCATCCCTGACCATCTTGGCTAATAGCTATTGATAGCCCTATTCTCCATGAAGTTATCTAATTCTGTTTTGAACCCAATTGTACTTCTAGCCTTCACTACATCCCACGGCACCAAGTTGTACAGATTGACTGTGCATTGTGTGAAGGAATAGTTCCTTTTGTTTGTTTTAAACCTGCTACCTATTAATTTCATCGGGTAATCCCTAGCTCTTGTGCTGTGTGAAAGGATAAACACTTTCCTATTTACTTTCTCAATACCATGTCATACACACCATTCTATATAGAAATGTTATTTTCTTCTGCCAATGAAAACTTTAATTATTGCTTTGCCATTCATCTATAACAGAGCTGGCTGGAAAATGGAGTTCCCATTCCACAGGAAATTCCAAAACAAAACAAAAAGTAGACATTTCAAACTAATTATAGAATGAAAATTAAACAATTTCTATTTATCAAAACTAAACAGTTTTTTTCCCTAATGTTGAAATGTTGTTATATTATATATAAATAGTCAAAATGAAATGAAACAAAAAGACATTTGATATTTTCAAAATAAAATGAGTATAAAAATCTTTTAGATGTTTTCCCATCGAACTTAATCAAAATAGACATCTTCATGTCAAATATTTCAGTTTCAACTCAGCTGTTCCAGTGAAAAAATTTCAGCCAGCTCTAATCTGTAATATTTAGCAATGGTGTAAACTACGGAATTAAGCCACCTATTAAAAAAAAGGGGCTTTAATCAAACGTACGAAGAAAGCTCCGCATGTAACTACAAATAACAGTGGCCTTCACTGAAAACTGAAATAAACATCTAATAGAGATAAGCAGTATTTGGTAGAAAGGTACAAAAGACCACTACATTTATCAGCAACCTCTGTGTCTTATTTGCTTTCAGTGTGTGTATTGTACAATCTAGTTTGAATTGTTGTTGTTGCCCTGATGTAAAATCTGGAGCGATGCAGGTTAAGCCTGTCACTAGTTATGCTCATGGGCTTGGAGAGTCTCCAAGCTCATCTGAAACTAATCAAACTGCATTTGGCATTTGCCTTTCTAAGCCCCCACAGACACTGTTCTGCCCTTCAGACTGAAAAAGCAAACAGAAGGGGGAAGATGGGAGAGAAATTGGCAAATGCAGATTTGTTCACCTGATTTGCAGGCAGTGAGCTCCACCTCCACCTAAGTCTATATGCAGGTAATTCCTCTTTAAAGAAAGGAAATACATTTGGGCTGCAGCCACCTGACTCCTGCTCTGTGCACCTACTGGAAATTTAGCACTAAAACTTTTATGCAGCTGTCTTTCCTTTCCAAAACATGCTGCAAACGCCATCAATGGTAACTTTTTCATTCTGTTGGTCCACTTTGTGTCTCTCTCATCAATCCAATTCCCCCAATGCTAAGTTCTTAAAAGATTTCATTCTACAGACCCTCTTAGAAGGGTCTCCACAAGCCATCAGTGGTCCACAGGCCATAGTCTGGCGCGGTAAGTGATGGGCAGTCCTGAAGAGTTTTGGAGGACTGGGATAGTGGAAGCAACCAAAAGTTCAAATATTGCTCTGAACCTCTTTAATCTGCCTGGACACTGGGCTGGTAACCTGGTGAGAAGAGGCCCTCGCATGAGGTTTTCAGGGTTTTTTTTTTGGTATTTCCTAATCTTGGCCAGCTTGGAAACACTCAGCAAGCTCCTCTTGCTGTATTTTGGGCACTAACACGTCTAAGTCCTTGACAAAATAAGCAAGAATAGCGATAACACGACAAAATTTGAAGTAAAAGCAAACATTTTAAGAACATTATTTGACCCTGAAAAATGGCTGTTTCAGAATAGTTCTTATTCTCTCTAACATGCTTTGCCCTTCTTTTCCAGTTGCAACATAACTGAGCTAAACCCTCTAAAACGCTAGGTACTAAAGTGCTTATAGTAAAATCTGTTCCCATAGGCATTATGGATCTAGTGTTCACTACTCTGAAACTTTCAGAGGTAACTTATACCCTGTGAAAACAAAATGTCCCCTGTGCCTGTGCAATGATCTCCCTTCGAGATTCTTGCATAATATTCCAAACTTATGTTCACCTAATCAGAGATGGTCCACTGACTTCAATGGACCTATGTTGATTTCCCCCATCTGAGGAGCTGGCCCAGAACTGGTTGTGAATCTTTACATGTGATAAAGTTTTAACTTACTCTTTCTCCTCGATCTCCTTTGGAACCTTTAGGCCCAGGCTGCCCTGGAGAGCCCGGTACACCCTAGAGGGCAGATGCAGAATAAGAGGAAATTACTGTTCCATTCAAAAAATACATAATGGAAACTAAACAAAGTGAACATCTTGCGTAACCACCTGTTATTGTTAAAGATGCTGGGCTAGATTCTCTGCGGCCTGAGAGCCTGTGTAGTCACTTACCTGGGTGACGTGAGTGTAAAATGTGACTTTGTCTATCTATCTTATAAGGTACTTCTGTGGCCCATATCATCATAGCAACTTTAATGCACTTATCGTCATAACACCCCTGTGAGGCAGGGCAGTGCTATTATTCCTAGTGTAAGGATGGGAAACTAAGGCACAGAGAATATAAGTGACTTGCCCAAGGTCACATAGGAAGCATCAGATGATAGCATTTTGCACACTCTTTGCACAGGTGTAAATGACTTCACAAGGTTCAAGGCAGGGACAGTCAGCGATCACTGACCACACAGATACAACACACCCACCTTCCAATGGTCCGGGGATCTCTACAATTACATTTTGCACATTCAGGATAGTTCAACATGAGGAGTAACCTGTCACATGGCCCTTTCAAGGAAATGGTGCATCTGCATAATCAGGCCCACAGAGGATGATTTATGAAGTCTATGCAGTGTTACAGGGAATCAAGGAAAAGATGCATCATAAAAAGGGCCTTCAGCAGTTTTGTGCAGTTACAGACCTCTCAGCTGGCTCCCTGTGCATATGCACATATATTATTATTCTTTATTATTTGTATTACCATAATATCTACACGCCCCAGTCATGGGCCAGGACCCCTCGTGCTAGGCTCTTTTCGAAGCGCCTAGGTTTTTTGCTTATAAACAAGCTGACCTATAACTGGTATTTGTTGCTAAAAGCTGATGACAAGGTATTCAGGGCTGCAAAGACTGGAGCGGGGGGGAATTGTCTCGAGGGCACTGGTAATGGGATATTGAAAAATAGGATTAACCTCTTGGTTACTGGTTCACGTCTAGCCCAGGTTGGTAGTACACTTAGTGCAGACAACTGTTCGGCATGGGTTCTTTGAAATAGATAGTGGACCCAGCCCAGGTCATGATGGACAGTGGTTCATATTGCAGCCATTACTGGCTGCCTTGTTGTCAGCCTCTGCAGAAGGCCAAGGACTGAATGGGAATGGGGACTTAAAGATCCTAGAAATAGTCCTGGCAGGGTAGGCGTGAGATACTTTCACAGTTCTTATGTTATCCTGCACAGTTAACTATGCAAAGGAATAACAGACCAAGATGTCTTTAGACCTTGTTTGCAGCAATCCTTAAGACACTTGCAATTGTCCTTAGGGTGGGTACTAACACCTCACAAATAGTTATGGAGAGTTGGAGGATAGAACGCCGAGTATAAACAAACATTCTTCTCTTCCTATCTTGTTTGCAACACTATCATGGCTTTGTTTGGTGGTTAAAGAGTTAAGATCAATATCAGCAAAGGAGTTTAATTACCAGAAGTCTTGAGACAAAGCCATTCTTCTCCAAATTGGTGCCTGTTTTATAGATTTATTCAACCCACGGAGCAGAATTATTAGCACACATTGGGCTTAATTTGAAAATTGTTTATTTGGGTGAGTGAATCTCATCAAAATGGTTTCAAATGTACAATCCAATTAATCTTAGGTCTGTCTGCTCACTCTGGCCATCCTGCTGGGATGCTTTCATACGTTAGGGATGGCCTTTGCCAAACTTTTATGGGGTGCTGCAAAGCTTCAGCAAACGTTTTTATAGTAGCCTCCAGGATCTAAAGGAAGATGGTAGTTTGAAGCTATCCTATCTAAACAGATACGACTGTCAGAAGTGATGATTGATTTTGGAGGCACAAATTGAGAGGCCTCAAAAGGCAGGACCCAGTTATCAGCAGTTGGAAGTGTTCAGCACTTTCTGAAAATCAAGCCTTTTAGGGAGTCTCAAATTGCACTCCAAAAGTGAGGCACACTCCCATCACTTCTGAAAATCTTTACCATGGTGCATGACTAGGCCCTCATTAGTCATCTGGCTAAGGATGTTCATAACAAACAGGGTGAAATACTCATTTGGTACTTAATAGGAAACTAAATAGTCTAGTCTTTTGATATCTATGATGCTATCAATAATCCAGTTCTCCCGTTCCCTTACGAAGTTTTGAGACCTTGTGGGGGAAGGACGCGGGAGAAGAGGTAGCAGCTTAAAAAAAAGGAGGGGGGCATGCAGTATCTGAGGCATATGGAAAGATGAGCAGGGTTCCTCGGACAACGTTTGTTGAAGTTTTGTGCTAATGTGTTAATTTTTTCATGTAGCCTAGCTGGCAGAGGACTCTATCTTCTCAACGTAGAGTGCAATGCTCCTTCTCTGCATTGAAACCTTGATTCTTCTGTGTCTAAGCTCTGCCGTAGGACAGAGTCTCACACGTGTGTAGCTAAATTGCTCCATAGTTGTTGGAAGACTCTCTTGTGTACAGCTCAAAAAGCTCCACATGAGGAGAGGGGGAAGCAAGAAATCATGAAATTTTAAGACTCATAATTCATAAGAGCAGACAGGCATCCTTAATTTTTGCATGTTTGACTTTGAGCGGTAAGATTTGGAACATTACATTAGCACTTTATAAAAAGAAAAGTACAGGCTGCACTTCTGTAGTCAGTAAAGATTGGGCAGACCTTCCGCTGAGGGAAAGCCGCATAGCTCCCTTGAAAACAATAGAATTAGACAAGTTTCCACCAGCTGAAGTTTCAGTCCATCTTTACAAGCTACCTACCATGACTAAGGCTCTTCCCCCTCCCTCCCCCCACCCCGTGTGTATATCCTGCAAGTTCAGAGGCTGGAGTCTAAGAGAAGCTTCTGTTTGTTTTGCCCTTGTGCATTACTTTACATTTAATCATGTGAAATTGCAGCCGTCATTTTGCAGCCAAATCTCCCAGTGTGTTTATAGTCATCTGAAATTTCCCACAGTTCTCCATAGCATTTGATAATTGAAACAATTCTGCACCATTGGCAAAGTTCACCAACTTGCTGTCCATTTCTTCTTCCAAGTGATTAACAAATACACAGTAAAATCCCATTTCTCCAATCCTCTGCAACCCCAACCTCCTCCTTATCCGAAATCAAGGTTATGTCCCTCGACATAAATCACTTACCCCCTATATCTCCCCCAATTTTCCTAATTCCCTATCATCATTTTATCCATGTTTTATGTCCTTGAAATAGTTTGGATTGGCAGCTGGACTACACATTCTGGAACACTGTCCCAAATATAGGTCTCCTGGGGTTCCCCACTATAAAATAATTACCACTAGTCAACTATTCATCATCACTTCATTTCTTTTTCTTTAGCCAATTTTCAATCTGTGAACAGATTTAGCCCCTCTTTCTGTAGTTTTCCACAATAACCTTTTATGAGGGACCTTGTCAAAAACGTATGATCTACCCAATCACAATAATTTTTTTTTATCCACACATAATTAATAGAGCTGGTCAGGAATGTTTTCATCTAAATGGTTTTTGACTGAAAATGCAGTTTGGGGGAAATTTTGATTTTTGCCAAAGCTTTTTTGATTTTCCATTCTGAAAAAGGCAATGAAATATTTTGTTGCAGCTTGGATCAACCCACATCAAAATATTTTGGTTTGTTGAACTGCATTTCCCTACAGTCCTGCATTGCCTCATGGGAGCAATAGTTCAGATATCTCATGGGCCCATTTTCTCATAGGGGCCAGCATCCCTAGCCAGACTATGTATACCATGATACAACACTCTCTCCTCTGACTGAGCCGCATGGTGCATCATGGGAGATTTAGTCCAGCAAGCCAGCCTGGCCCAGGGAGCCCAAGAGAAAGGGGGCATCAGGCACCCAAACTAAAACTCCCAGGAGGCAATGCGACCTCATAGGGAGATACAGTTTAATATTGAACTGGCTCAAAATGAAATGTTTTGGTTCAGTTAAATAAACCAAAACTTAACGTTTTGCCTGGGAATATCAAAATGTTTTCTTTAGCTTAAGAACACCAAAATAGAGCATTTTGCCATTTACAAATCAAAATTTTTCAGAACATTTTGTTTTAAGAAAAATTTCAGTATTTCAGCTTTTTGTCCTGATTTGAGATAAAAATAAAGTATTGAAATATTGGAATTTCTTGCTAGATGCAAATTCCGATTTCCACTCAGCTCTACTAATTAAACATTTCATCTACAGTGATCAGTTGCTTTGCATTTAATTCCATGCTCCGCTCCCCTCCTTCCCCCACTTCCGCCCCCTCCAAGGCATGGGATGGGATAAAATTACTTACTTGTGATCCAGGAACTCCAATAGGTCCTGGGGGCCCTTTGGGTCCTGAATTGCCTGGGGGTCCTGGCGATAAAATCATAATCTGAGACAGTTTTAGAGACATTTAGAAAGAAGGAACCTCAATTTCAGTCACACTCTTTCTTTCGCAAAAAGAAAAGGAGGACTTGTGGCACCTTAGAGACTAACCAATTTATTTGAGCATGAGCTTTCGTGAGCTACAGCTCACTTCATCGGATGTAGCTGTAGCTCACGAAAGCTCACGCTCAAATAAATTGGTTAGTCTCTACGGTGCCACAAGTACTCCTTTTCTTTTTGCGAATACAGACTAACACGGCTGTTACTCTGAAACTCTTTCTTTCGTTACTCCTGATTAGTGTGTTTCTCACTCTCTACACAAATCTCGCTTGAACATCAGGACATGGCTTAAGCACTGATATCAAACAGAAGATAGATGCACATTCTGATGTAAAACATCCTTCCATACTGGAATTATTTTAGAGCCATATACAAAATTTTAATAATGTAAGAAGTAAGAAATGCAGCAAAATTTCAGACTCCTTTTAAATGACTATTCTTCCTTGGTCCCAAGAGAAATCTTAGATCAGAATCCACAAAGCAATTGTACCAAGTGAGGTATTGTACCTGGGATTTCTGAAAGAGAATGAGTGCAATACTGAGTGAAGAGATCGCTGGGCCTCGTGTGCCACCGGACCCACAGTACTCTGAGGATTCATAGAATCATAGAAGATTAGGGGTGGAAGGGACCTCAGGAGGTCATCTAATCCAACCCCCTGCTCAAGGCAGGACCAACCCCAACTAAATCATCCCAGCCAGGGCTTTGTCAAGCCTGACCTTAAAAACCTCTAAGAATGGAGATTCCACCACCTCCCTAGGTAACCCATTCCAGTGCTTCACCACCCTCCTAGTGAAATAGCATGTCCTAATAAACAACCTAGACCTCCTACACTGAAACTTGAGACCATTGCTCCTTGTTCTGTCATCTGCCACCACTGAGAACAACCTAGCTCCATCCTCTTTGGAACCCCCTTCAGGTAGTTGAAGGCTGCTATCAGATCCCCCCTCACTCTTCTCTTCTGCAGACTAAGCAAGCCCAGTTCCCTCAGCCTCTCCTTGTAAGTCATGTGCCCCAGCCCCCTGATCATTTTTGTTGCCATCCGCTGGACTCGCTCCAATTTGTCCACATCCTTTCTGTAGGGGGGCCCAAAACTGGACGCAATACTCCAGATGTGGCCTCACCAGTGCCAAATAGAGGGGAATAATCGCTTCCCTAGATCTGCTGGCAATGCTCCTACTAATGCAGCCCAATATGCCGTTAGCCTTCTTGGCAACAAGGGCACACTGCTGACTCCTATCCAGCTTCTCGTCCAATGTAATCCCCAGGTCCTTTTCTGCAGAACTGCTGCTTAGCCATGACTGCAGAAAGGGGTTTGTATTAGCCACAGCTAAAATGGAGGGGTTGACATGACTATATAAAATGCCTCTTCACAGCTGGTGTCAACTCTGCTCCTGCTGAGGCAAACAGTTACAAACTGGCTTCTCCCTCGCTCTGAAGACGTCCCTTTAACAAAGCTTTGCCTCCACTAGTCCCAGGGCTGGTGCAAGGCGGTTTCGCACCCTAGGCGAAACTTCCACCTTGCGCCGCCCCCCGCCGCCCGCAGCAGCTCCCCGCCGCTCCCTCCCTCCCCCCCTCGGCCCGGGGAGCCCCCCCCCACAGCAGCTTCCCACCGCCCCCTCCCTCCCTCAGCCCCGGGAGCCTCGTGCAGCCCTCCCCGCCCCAGCTCACCTCTGCTCCGCCTCCTCCCCGAGCGCACGGCCACTTCTCCCGCCTCCCAGGCTTGCGGCGCCAATCAGCTGTTTAGCGCGCAAGCCTGGGAGGGAGAGAAGCAGAGCGGGGCGGTGCTCAGGGGAGGGGGCGGAGCAGCGGTGAGTTGGGGCAGGGAGCGGTTCCCATGTGCGCCACGCCCCCCCCCCCCGTTACTTGCTGCAGGCGGCCCTCCCCGCGCCCCCCTGCCCCAGCTCACCTCCGCTCCACCGCCACCCGCAACCACTTGGCATCCTAAGCGACCGCCTAGTTTGCCTAGTGGTTGCACCCGCCCTGACTAGTCCAAGGCCTTTGAGCCCAAACTCTTGCAGCCAGGCCCAGTTGCTTTTCCTGGCAGGCATCCTGTCAGAATAAACTATGCCACTGGATCTTTCACACACACAGCCTGAGAAGAATCTTTGGTTTGGTTTCTCCTCATTAAAGCTGTCTAGTTTGATTTAGTCAGTTACCTGGTGGCCCAACAGGCCCTGGTGCGCCACGTGGGCCTGGCAAACCAGCCATGATCGTGTCTATGATGGTGGAAGCCAGCTGGGGTTCTCCATCTGTGATAAAGAGCAGAGGAATTAACGATTGAGAAAATTATCAACTGCAGCGTCCAGTCAGTCAGGATTTCACACTGGGCTGTTTGAAAGCTCGAGCTAGCTGTTGGCCAAGGAGAGAGTGAGTGTTTAATTAGGTGGAATTCTGACCATTAGAACAATTTCCCTGACCGTTCTGAGGGGAACTCATCCAGAAGCTCATTGAAAAATAAAACTGTGATTTTCTACCAGAGGTGCCAAAGCAATCATCTCATTCTTCAGGCTCTATACATTAGGCCATTATGTGGACAGACTGGCTCTGGATCAAGTGCGTTTACATTTAGTCTCTTTCACACGCCTCTTGTTCATCCCTGCACCCTGTTTCTTCCAATTGCCCCAAAGAATTTTCCCCTCGTTCCAAATCAGTGTTCTTGCTTAATTACTGAATCCTGCCGCCAGTCGCCAAAGCAGACTGGATCGCGCCCCCTTCAGGGAGCTGGGTGGCAAAAGGCTGTTACTGCATTGCATAGCAATAGTGTTTGTGAAAGCCTACAGATGTCACCTCTAAGACCACTGGTTTCCAGTGATCCAAGAAGTCATGTATGAACTCTGAGTCTCCCTGTGACTGCCCAATAACTGGTGTCAATGGTGCTGAGCTACTGCACCATTATAGCAGCCCAGAGCACTGCCACCAAACCGCCATGGTAGCCAATATGCAGCCACCAGGTCATCAAGTGTCTGCATATCAGCCCAACACACTATCTACGGACTCCTATGCTAGTATACTAATAGTTTGCAGTCCATTAGAGTGGCACCTTTCATTTGAAGATACAAAAGTGCTGTAGACAATATGTAATTTTACAGATGGGGAGACTAAGGCACAGAAGTTAAGTAACTTGCCCAATGCCACATAGCTAGGAATAGAATCCAGGTATCCTGACTTAAGTGAGGATTCACATCCACTGCTCCAGCCACTTGATCCTAACCAATTCCATAGGCTCAGGAATTTATTCCTCTGCTGACTTTGTTGCTGTTGGCCTTAACTGTAATCAACGTTTCTCTATTCTCCTGGCCTTCCTTTGGATTCATAAGCAGGGGCAGTGAAGGACAAGGTGAGAAGAGACTCACAGGCATCTTCAAAACTTGAAAAGAATACATACAATTAAACACTACAATAATACAAGCCATGCTACTTCAGCAGTTCCTTTCGGGGGAAATGGGATGGAAGTGCTAACTATTGCTTGAAGAAACAATTTATATATGAGAGATAATCTATCACTTAAAAATAACTGCATCTTTGCTGCAGACTCCTCAACTAGGGGGCTCTGCCAGGGTCCGGTCAATGGATACTGCATAGCACAGTTACCCCTGACAGAAGGCCTTCTGAAAAGCCAGGTTTTCTCCAGCTCCTGCCCCCCACGATCTAGAAACTTCCATTTCCTCATGCCTGTGATCTCAAACCTCCACACATCCATTTCCCACCCTGCATTTCAGTGATTTTTAGCTCACTGAACTACCATTAGATGGGATTCTTTCCATGCATAGAGGGGCAAATTCTATTGTGGTACATGGGTGTAAATATAGAGCAACCCCTCCAAGATCAATGGTGGTGTTGCGTACTCTGCACTGGCATAAATGAGAGCAGAATTTGACCCAAAGAATACCCCAAAAAAGGAGATAAGTCCTGTATAGACATTTTAGAGGATTTTCACCTTTGGTGAAGCAATGGATGTTGGTCATGGATAGAGGTACAATAGGAACAGTGGTGATAGATCAGTGATCTGATCCAGCGTGACATATGCTATGGAATGCTGGGAAACAGCCGTACTCCAGATGCCCTCAGGGACAGGGCATCTCTGCAGTGGAGTCCAGGAAGGGAACCAGCATGCCTGGGACTCTGAACCTAGGTCTCTCCTGGAGAAGAGCCAACACAGAAGGGCCAAACTCAAACAGGTATTTCCTTGACTGTCGTTTTTGACCGTAGCCATCTTTCCTTCTTTGCGGCCCAGAAACAAAGCGTCTGAGAATGCTTTCATGTTCAAAGGGAAAGGTACCCAAGTGAAGTGTGTAATCCAATTAATCTGAGTTTTATTTGACCATGTCAAAATCCATCAGGGTTTGTGAGCGAGACGGAATCTGAAAACGAGCATTGAACAGCAGAGAATGCATTAACAATTTCAGGGGATTTAAAAAAAAAAAAAAAAGAACAAGCAGTCAACAAAATTAAGCATCCTTAGGGAGGTGGGATGGGGTAGTGCGGTTGCAAACTAATGGGATTTAATTATTGCTGAGGGGAGTGAATGTGTGTTGCAGAAAGTTCCAGGCAAAGAGAATATGATGATGATGACAAACAGAGTTACTCCTCACAAATCCACCCATCCTGACATTAGATCAATTCGAGTTATTTATGAAAGGTGCTTCTCTAATTGTGATGCACTACGGGGGGCGGGGGGGGAGCTCAATAGCTCAGCATTTGGGCTGTGCCGCATGCTGGGGTGAGACTCTGTTGTCGCTCCTTCCTTGGTAGCGCAGCCATGGAAAACTAGCCAAAGTACTGGCTGCCTCAAGAGGACCAGCACAACGTTTCCTGAATTCCTTCTATGGGGAGAATCCTGCCCCTCGCCTCCCTTGTCAGATAGGGCTCGAATTACAACACACCTAGTGCACATCCACCATACGTGAGGGTGGGATTTGGGGAGTCCAAACCCCCCTGCACTCCCTCTGTATCCCCACAAAGCAGCAGGTCAAGCTGGGAGAGCCAGTGGCTACCTGGATCCTCCGGTCTTTCCCTCTCCATACACATTGGGGTCACAGGAGACCCTGGGACTTATGCAGCTCAGGGCTACAGTAGCAACCACAGAGTAGCTTCTGTGTCATTCAACAGCAAAGAAATGGAGGATCCTCTCCCCCTCCAATGTGGCTCTCCCTGAGCTGCCTGCAACAATTCCAGCTACCCTGGCTTGAATGCAGGGGAGTATCCTTCCCATTTAAACCACCCTGATGTAGAAGTTGCTCCAGGCCTTTTCAAACGCCCAGCTGCCCCAAAGTGTCTAACAAGCCAACCTGTTCGATATGGGCAGGGCTAGGGATTTGAGCACATGGAAAGGGGGAAACTTAAAGAGAGGCTGAAATCTATCCTGAGAGGCAGTGAAGCTTGTTCACCTGTGTAGCAGCCGCGGGCATCCCAGGTACCTGGATGTGCACAGCTTTCACAGCCACTGGAACAGTTTTCTCAATGCCAGCCTCAATCTCTCTCCTCGCTTTCCCCTCCCTGTCCCATCCCTCTCTCTTACTCCCTCTGCTCCGTTCACTCTTTTCAGAAAGGCCAGTGGATCAAACACTGGATGGGGAGCCAGGAGATCTGGGTTCTGTTCCCTATCCTGCCACTGAACTGCTGGTTGACCTCGGGCATGTCCCGTCCTTGCTCTGTACCACGATGCCGTTTCTATCTTAAAGCAACTCACAAAAGATACAAGAGCGTAACACCCTCTGATCAGAGCAAGGTATTATTTCCCCTTCCCTTTCCCCAGAAAAAAAGTCCTTTCATTTCACAGCCCTTTTGATGGGGGCTCTAAGATAACGTACCCAAAGCCTGCCCTCCCATCTCTAAGTGCCAGAGCACGTAAGATGCCCATTTACCTACAGACACAGTGGCAATAGCAGGTATTGTTTAGAATCTGGCCCATCTCAAACGATTCTGTGTTAAGGATAAATTCTCCCCCTTAAAGGCTTGATTTGTTGAGACAGGATGGAAATGAAGTAATCCTGTCTTAATTTCTGCCCGCTACCTGATCTGGAGAGACACAACTGGGACCAATTTCTCTACCGCAGCGAAGTGAAACTATGAGAAAATGCTTGTCTCCCCCCTTTTTTGCTTTTGCCGGCTGATAAACGTTGCCAACAAGGAACTTGTTGTGATTAATAAAACACTGACATTAACCATGATCAGGCAGAACCTGAACACTGGTTAATAATAATCGGATACAGCTTTCTCCCATAATGGGGGTGCACATGCTCATTAGCTGGGGTATGCTTCCCTCTGCTGTCAGCAGATGGGATCTTATGGTTATGGTTTTCAGATGTGCTCCATTTAAAAACAAAATAAAAAAATCCTGTCTGGGATTTATAGAGACGGCTTCTACTGGCTGTTGAGAATTAGCTTTCCACCAACCCACACAAATCAGTTAACAAGAGTGAAAGGGCAAATTTTATAGGATGATTGCAGTAAGCTCATCATGCCACATTAGTGACCTATCCTATTAGTAAGCCTTGTATTAATCACAAGAAGAAAAAATAAGTAGGGATTGTTTAGAGTTTAACACTTACTTACAACAATGATGGAGGCTCTATGAAAATCTATATTAGACAGATAGGGTCTAGATCAGATATAGACCAAAACTCTAAAATGCTTAGCATCACTCACTGCACCTAGGTGAGAGTCTATCCCTATTAACATCAGTAGAGCCAGGATTTCAACAGTTGGTAAAAATCTTGCAAGGCCACACGCTGGATTGAATTTCATTGCTACTGACCATTTGTGGAAACGAGACCAACGTGTATCCTGAATGTGTATCTAATAGGAATCAGCCGAACGCCATGATTCTTGCCAATTTCAAATCTCAAAGATTTCATATGACTGAAAAAGTAGAGGACGCAAAATTTTTCATACCATGTAGTCACCTACCTAAAGGGGCAGTGAGTAACAATTTTCCTTTTGAGGATTACGGGGATGGAGAGGCGAAATTCTGATATTGTGAGATCAAGACAAGGAGACAAGATAAAGCAGTAAATGGTCTTCAGAACTTTCTGCGTTTGCGGTAGGTGAAACATTCTATGCTATCTATTCTGTTCAGGTTCTCATACCATGACTACGTTGGGGTTTCCACAAACACTATTCTGCTTGGGTCCCCACACATTTAGTTTGGGTCTACAGACTATCGTCTTGAATCAATCTTAAGTAACACATTCATAGATTCAAAACCAGAAGGAGCCACTGTGATCCTCTAGTCTGACCTCCTGTATAACAGAAGCCAGAGAAAATTCATGGTTGAACCAGAACAGATTTTTTTAGAAAAACATCCAATCTTGATTTAAAAATTGCCATTGTTCTGTCTGATCAAAGTACTCTCATTAGAAGCAAATGCCAGGGATTTTATAGCTTTTTTAAAATAAAAGGGTAGAGTCTATAATTCAAGGGGAGATTGCCCAGTGGGTCAAGCATCCAGGCCAGTTTCTATACCAATTTGAAGTCAGTAGCAATACTCCCATTGGCATCACTGAGTACAGGATTAGGCCTCAGTTTTGAAACATTCCTGGAAGGAATGACTGGGTAAAATCATTCTTCCAAGGCAGAGAAATTGGGTCCCATGCAGTATGTCTCTTTCATGAGACTAGGGTCCTGGCTGTTTTCAGGGCTATCAAGGAGAACATGGCACTTTTCACAAGTATATAGGTTTGTCAAAGTTAATTCTTTCCCTACCACTCTTTCATGCTGGCTGATTGCTGCCCTCCAAGAACAGGCAGTGTTTCAGTGGTTCTGTATCTATGTCATTTTCAAAGTGCTTTGGGATCCATTGGGATGAAAGGCTCTATGGAAATATACAATGTTACTACTGTATCCACACACAGTAATTGGTATGATCCTCTAAGAAGCCGGTGTGAATTTAATGCAAAATCTCCTAGTGACAGTGACTACAGTAGTTCATTCTACATTTTGCTGAAAGCCTGGATACTGAACCACAATTAATTTAATCCTGCCCATAACACACTAAATAACTTTAGACAGAGCAATGCTGCTAAAATCTTTAACAAATTAAAAATACATCTACTCTCCTCCAGGAAAAGGAGTGTGAAGTGGGAGGTAGGTGGAGGGGAAGGAAATCCATAGATAATTATCAGACACAAAGATACTTACTAATCCTGTGGCTGTAATTACAATATTTTGACTCTGAAGCCAGAGGTGAGTAGAACAGCTGGCACTGTTTAGGGGTAGGGTGGGTAGTGCATTAGTTTTCCAGCACTTTACTAGCCAAAGGGACGATATTACCGAGTTTCAAAGTATCACTACTGGACCCGAGCAGTAGAACTCCCTGCCAGAAGCGACCAGAACAAGCCCAAACCTGACAGTGCGCAGATTGGTGTATAAAATGTAACTTTTCTAGAATGCCTTTCCGTGCTCTTAAAAATATAACTAAATAAACAAGTACAATATTTTAAAAAGCCAGCCAGTGCACCAAAATCCATGCCCCTCTGCCTACGGGAAGGGAGGGAACAAAACACTTCCTTGTCCTGGGCTGTCAGGCTTTTTAATTCTGTGCAGTACACAGATGCTGGGTTTATAGATTCACAGTTTATAAAGCCAGAAGGGACCATTGGGATCATCTACTCTGACCTGTGTAACACAAGCCATAAGACTTCCCTGAATTAATTCCTGTTTGAACTAGAGTATATAAAAGCATCCATGGTAATTGGTGGTATATAAAAGCAACTGCTAGACAGACAGACAGGGGGAGGGAGGGGCAGCGGTAAACTGGATCTGTAGTTATTGTGTGCCTTTGTTTTAAGCCTAGTTGCATTAAGTTCTGATTTGTACCCCAGTGTCCTGACTCTTGCTTTCAGTTATCCCAGGTGCCCCACTGAAATCCCAAAGCATATTTTAGAGCAGAATTTGGCTCAGAGCATTATGGTTCAAACAGGAAGATTTTCCCTCTCCCTGATTCAGAAGATTGGAGGAAGGGAGAAAAGAAAGGTCAGTTTCCACACCACAATACCACCACCCCCCCCCCTCTTATCTAGTGCTTTTCATCAGTAGATCACAAAGTAGATGTACTGATGGGGCTCTGAGGCACAGAGAGGTAAAGTGACTTGCACAAGGGTCACCCAGTAGGCCCCTGGCTGAGCTGGGAACAGAACCCAGGTGTCCTGAGTCCCAGTCCAGTGCTCTATCCACTAGGCCACACAGCCTCCCCTAGCATAGTCTCCCCCCCCAGCCCTTCCCCTGATGTAGAAGGCAATCCCAATGCAAGACTAGCAAAGCAGAGTCAGCAGGGGGAGCTATTTGCAGGATAAATAAAGCATACAAAACAAACAGGAGCACTGACAGTTGTGACAATGAAAGAAACAAGCAGATGATACTGTCGGGTTCTGAAGGATGCAAGGAAGCCACTCAAGAAGCATGCTCCTTTGTTACTCCAACTTGTACTAAACCGCTGAGGTTCTCATTGCAATTTTCCACCCTTACAACTAGAATATTCTAGGACTGCCACTTTTGAGAGGTAGTTTGGCGGGTCACACACGAGCGTCCTGACATTGTGACAGTTGCTCTGTGATGTCACAGTGCCCATCATCATATTATCACCTAACGTCACACGGGTTGTATCATCATGATGCAGCCTCGGTTTGATTTGGAACCCGATGAACGTCCAGCAAACTAGGCTTGCATGAGGTACAGCTGCCTCTTTAAAATTAGGACAATCCCAGAAAAAGTAGGACATGTGGCAACCGTAAACCCTTCCCCATAACTCCCAGTCCCATAAACTACCCAGCTACGCTTCTTAATCCAGGCTCAAGTAACAACCTGAATGAAGAGTTGAGGTTCATCAGCAGGGATAGATGGGACAATTTGACTTCTTTCCTCCCCCAAAACTTTTTCCTCTGCCTAAATACCCAGCAGGATCCACAAGAGAAGCAGGTCATCTGGTCTCTTCCAGTGAAAGCTGGGACATGGTAGCACTGGGCAGGGAGGGGAAGAAAAACATCTGATTTCCTCTGCACAGGTTACCAGCCTGTCACTCACAGATGCACCCGGAAAGATGTGGACACTTAAGGAAACCTACTTTCTTTTTCAGCTGTGGGCTGCAGCGAGTAGAGAACCCCTTGTTGGACAGTGAGGGGAAGGCCTGGGGTGGCAGGTGACCCCGGAGGTCCTGGGGGTCCTGGGATTCCAGTTTCTCCTGGAAGTCCTCTTGGTCCTGGAGGTCCCAGAAGCCCTGCAAAGAAATAGAAGAGGAGATTTCTGTGAAGTTGGAGACACATCAGCAGGTGCACTGGGGCAAAGAATTAGTACAAAGCCCACCAAGCTGCTGGAAAGAATTTAATCTAGGTCTAGAAACGGCATTGCTCCATAACAGGAGCTGTCAGAAGGGCTGAGATGAGCATCTCTCCACCCTTGGATCCAGTTGCAGGGCTCGGGCCGTGCCGGCGAAGTCTGTGGCCCGTCACAACCCTTACACTGGCAAAAATCCCAGTAAAAGGAAAAATCTCTGCTTTTGGAGGATGAAATGTTCTGGCCTTCTGCTGCTGGTGAGGGATGAAGTGCACCATTTAAAATGATTCTAGAAGCTGCTGCTATTCAGTGTGGAATGGAGCCGCGGAAGCTACACAGAAAAAGGGTTAATGTTAATAGGAATACTTTGCAGCTTCCATTTTCAGAGCACCACACAAGCCTTCAGGAAACTTTAATGACATCCGAGGGAGACAGCTAAGTCTGCATCATTATTCCCCTCCTCCCTTTATAGATGGAAAAACTGAGGCACAGAAGGGTTAAATGATTTTCCCAAAGCCACAAAGCAAACCAATAGCACTGCCTGGTTCCCAGCCTTTTGCTAAGCCCATCACAAATTGATTCCTGCCAGGTCACAGGGGAAAACAGGCAGTTATTAATAGAGCTGCTCCAAAAAAAAAAATTATGGAAATTTTTCACTTTTTAACAGAAATTTGAATACTAAAAATTTTTGGTTTTCAGTGAAAATATTCAAGTTTTTGGGTATTTGGTGAAAATCAAATTTTCTTGGGAAAGCAGAAACTTGTGGCAAGAAAAATTGGACAACCCCCCCCCCCCCAATTTTCCACTGAAAAACCCTTGTTTATTAGTTTTAAATGAGTGATTCTTTTCAGTGAACTCCACAGGAGACCGCGGTGGATGCACGGGACAGAACAACTTCTCTGGGGAAGAGTTTGAAGATTTCTACATGAAAAAACATTCATTATCGACAGAACTGGTGGGAAATGGGAGGGGGGGGAGGGAGAGAGAGAGAGAGAGAGAGAATGAAAAGCAGTAGTTTTGTCTCAGAACCACATCTGTTAAGTGAAATAAAAGCCCTTTCAGTTGGCTTGAAATATCAGGCACCTGACAATGACCAATACAGTCCCACCCTGTCCCTATTAGCAAAATGCAGAGGATTTTTAATTTTGGTTAGAGGTGTGGGCATTCAGCACCTCTGAAATTCAGCTCACTCTTATTTAGCTGTCCTAAATATGGGTAATTTGGGGCTGAGCCTATTTTGCTTCGGTTTCCCCCTCTGCAAAACAAAGATCATAAGGCCTGACTGGCTCAAGGGCATTGTGAAGTTTAACTTAAGGATGAAACTCACCCCTGTGCAGAGGATCCGCACAAGGGCTGGAGTTCTACATAGGCCTCATGCTGCAATTCTGCATGGTAGAGGGGAGGGGGAACATCACCCTAATGTTCGTGAAGGGCTTTGAGTTACGCAAATGGAAGGCAGCGAAGAAATGCAAAGTATTATTCTGAGCGACCCTCCCAAGCAGGTCGGGAACCAAATTGTGCAATGGGCAGATTAATGCTGCTCTCTTTGGGGTTGGAGGGCTATCTTGTTTCTGAGAAACCAGAGTCAAGACATCCCAGACCAGACCTCAGCCATTTTCAGGACCGCAGCAAATGCCAAGATGTCTCTGGGGCCATTCTCATATTTAAAGAAAAGGAAGACTTGTGGCACCTTAGAGACAAACCAATTTATTTGAGCATAAGCTTTCGTGAGCTACAGTTCACTTCATCGGATGCATTCAGTGAAGTGAAGTGAGCTGTAGCTCATGAAAGCTTATGCTCAAATAAATTGGTTAGTCTCTAAGGTGCCGCAAGTACTCCTTTTCTTTTTGCGGATACAGACTAACACGGCTGCTACTCTGAAACCTCTGACATTTAAGGCACACTCCGGGTTTCAACTGTTTCCCTGGCTTGGAGATTTATGAAGCACTGCTAATCAGTACGTATGCCGCTTGTCTGGCAGCTTGGCATAGCATTGTCTCCATCACAAGATTTAGTAACATTCTGGGGATGAGTGAAGTCTCCTAGCTCAGGAATAGGTTGCATTCAGAAGGGAGCGCCCTATCTAGGGCCCTTTCTTTTAATGTAGACAGCATTATTGTTTCAATGTTAACCATCTGATTGCTTGATGTACCTGACGAGAGAAGCAAAATTCCTCCCCATGAGCTACGCATGCTCCCCAAAAGCAGGATGGAGCAGTGAAAGGGCTAAACAGGAAAAAAGCTCTACTCTGCTTACTAGCTGGACAGAGACTGGTTTTACATCTCCTATTAGGTACTGCTGGCATCCCAGAATAATCACTCTTCAGCTACATGGATGGACTAAGGGGGTGTCTATGTTAATTTAAAACTTTGGGCCCAGTCCTGTGAGGGGCTGAGTGCCCTCAACACTCACTGATCAGAGAGAGTTGATTCAATGGGACCTAAAGATGTTCAGCCCATCATGTGATCAGGCCCTTTATGTGCAGAGGAGTTTGTCTAGAGTAAGATGAGCTTCCTAGCATGAGTTCCCCTAGGAGACTCACCTGGCGGCCCTGCTGGTCCTCTCTCGCCAGTTTGTCCCCTGTCTCCTTTTGGTCCTGGTGGTCCTGGAAGTCCAACTGGTCCAATTGGGCCTGGGGGCCCAATCTGCCCGGGTAGCCCTGCAAACATTCAAATAGGAAACTAGTTGGAGCTTAGGACACTGGAGTTGTTATACGCGCTTACGCATCAGAAAGCAACCCAAAGAGATTTTGAGAGGTACAGCTGACTCAGGGGAAGTTTCTGCTCTGTTTGGTTGCAGCAGGGGAGAGTGGTGTTGACCCCATGAGTGCCAGCTTACCAGCACACTGGGCAGGAGAGCTTCGCTCACAGATCGCATGCTGCAGACAGCAGCATCTATGCTAGTCAACAGATCATGCCCATTGGAGTGTTGATGCACAGGCCAGCATGCTAGCCAGTGCCTCCATCCTTGTGTTAATCTAAACTTGCAGTGGCCCCCCTCCCAAACCAGTACACCTACAAGGCACAAGGCAGGGGTTTACTGAAGTCCCTACTCCCTCCTTCACCCAGACCCAGCTTTTCGTCCCATACAAGTTTAATATGACATGATCCAGTTGATACCTATGTGAAAGCAGGTACTAGAATGACTTCCACTACCACAAAGAGATTGTCTATTACACATCAAAGGAGTGGTATGTCTCCTCCATTCATTTAGTATTTCATTACATCTAATATATGTCCCAGTTAATACAAACACTGCCCACGTCAACAAACACGCGTGACTGAACCAGACCCAGCGTGGCAACTAGATGTTACCCATTTGTGTCATTGAGGAGAGTGCTGAACAAAAATACATGGAGATACTTGTAACACAGTGACCCCAGGTAAGTGAGTTACATAGCATATTCCTCTGAAACCCTGGGTAAGCAGACAGAAGGCACAGAGAGCAGGGTGTACATTGTACGCAAGCAGGAAGGCAGTTCTTCCTCTAGGCTCTAAGTTGTGGAAAGGTTGAATGGTTTAAATGTTTCTGCTGTTTCCTTTGGGCTGACAAAATAATAATAATGTTTATCACTTATATAGTCTAGTGCTTGATATCAAACACTATGTCTGTTCTTGCACACCAAGGTAATAGGTGCTTTGGCTATATATATATATATATATATATATATATTTTAAAAGCACTGACCAAACACTGCCTAATCCTTGCAACTCCCCTGAAAGGTAGGTAAATGTTTTTGGCCCCAGTGAAGTTAAGTGACTTGCCTAAGGGCACTGAGCAAGTCAGTGTCAGAGACAGGGTTAGAAGAACTCAGGAATTCCTGGCTCCTAGATCTGTGCTACCAGGGGCTTTGGAATACTCAGAAAGAGAGAGAAATGCAAGCCACAACTTTGGGGAAGTTTAGTTCTGAATGTTCAGATTTAGGGTACTCGCTCAGGCCCAACTTTACTTGTAAATGTAGTGAATCGGAAAATAGAACTCTCAAACACACAGAGGGCAGGTTTCATTTTCATACACTTTTAAACTGTCAGATAGGGAAATCCCACCCTTTCTCTCCCCTCCACCACAGCTTGAGATCAGGAGAGGCACCAGCCCCTCTGACATCACTCCCAGCTGCCTCTGGAGGGCAACATGGGCTGGCCAGGTATCAGCGTTATGGCCTGTGCACAAGGGATTGAAGATCTTGCAATAAATGATGAACACATGAGATCTGCAGCTCCAAGAGCTTGAGATAAGCACTGGAGACCAAATCCTTAGGGTATGTTTATGGAGACGATATCACCATAGCTAAGTTGCTGTAGCTATGCTGACACAACTCCGTAATGTAGACGCAGCTGTACGCTGACAAAAGGGGTTTTCCTGTCGGTGAAGATACACCACCTCCCCCAGTGATGTCCAGGGAAGCATTCTTCGGTTGACATAGCTGCGTCTACATTGGTGGTTGGGTCGGCTGGGGATGTGTTTTTTTCACACCCCTGACCAACATAGCTATGTTGACCTAACGTTTAAGCATACACCAAGCCTGGGTTACCTTTTTGGCAGGTGTGGATCTGATTCCTATTCTGGGTATGCTCATCCAAACTATCTGCATATCTTGGAGATGTTAACCACAAGAGAACAGGCTTTCATAAAGATCCCGTCCTTCTTTCTTTTATCTGGTTTGTAAATATTGACACAAGTATTTTTCTCACAGTGTTTTGGAACTTCCACTTCTTATCCCAGCTGACTCTGGGAACGAAAGGATCGGATCGGATCGGATCTTAAGGGTTTTTAAGGTGCCACAAGTACTCCTCGTTCTTTTTACTGATACAGACTAACACCACTACCATCCTAAAAAATTAAGACTATTTTATGCCATCAAACAGAGTTCTGATTTGATTTGAATGCAGAGCAAAGATTCGTGGAAGGTTTTTCATTTTTCCTAAACAAGATTGTTCATCCATAGGGCACAAAGGTTTTTCAGTGTCTGACAAGGCCAGCCTCATGGATCTGGTACGGGAGTCATCTAACATGACAATAGCATAGGCCACAAATTATATCTCCACGTGGTGCCTTGGCATCAGCAATATTCAGAGCCCAGGGGCCCAGCTCCACCAATATTTGGGGCTGGGTGTCCGTCCTCCCGCGCCTCCCCTGAAGTGTCCCCCAGCCCTCCATGCGCCTCCCCACCTCTGCAGCTCCATGCTGCCTCCCTGCAGCAACTGCTGCCGCAGGGTCCTAGTGCCCCCCATCTCCCTTGCCAGGGCAGACTGACTGAGCCTGCCCTTCCACCTCAGACCCTTCCCTTTTCCGGCGGGACCCTCCACCAGCACAGGGGGGGGCCCCCGCCCACAGTCACCCGTCCTGCCCCATGCTGGGCAAGGAGGCAGCCCCATCCCTCGCCCCCCCAGTGAGGCTACAGTCGGGGGCAACAGCAGGAGAGGAGGCGCACGCAGCTCCCCCGGGCACCCACCACAGGGGAGGGGAGGGAGATTCCTAGGCCTGAGAGGGGCCCTAGGAGCACATGCAGTGACAGTGGTGGGCATGAGTGTGCTGCTGGGGGCGGGGGGGGGGGCGGGAAAGGAGGGCTCCTCCCCCAGAGCTCTCGGCAGGGAAAGGGCTAGGGGAGTCCCGGAGCAGCGTGTCTGCACCCCAAACTCATCCCCAGCCCCCACACCCCCAGCCAGAGCTTTCATCCCCCACACCGCACCCTCAACCCTCTACCCGAGCCCTGAGCCTCTCTAACACCACAAACCCCTCATCTCCAGCCCCAGCCAGAGCCCTCATGCCCCCGCACCCTAACCCTCTGCCCGAGCCCTGAGCCTCTCTAACACCCCAACCCACCCAGCCCCAGACAGAGTCCTCACCCCCACACCCCTACTCTCACCCTGAGCCCCTCCCATACCCCAAACCCCTCATTCCCAGCCCCCGAGCTCTCACCCCCTACACTCGCCCTGAGCCCCTCCCACACCCCAAACCCCTCATCCGCAGCTACACCCCACAGCCCTCACCCCACACATCACAGCCCTCACTCCCCCTCCGCACCCCCTCCCATCCCCAAACTCCCTCCCAAAACCTGCACCCCCTCCCTCCACACCCCCTCCCACCCCCACACTCCCTCCCAGAGCCTGCACCCTGCACCCCAATCCCCTGCCCCAGCTTAGGGCCTGCACCCCAGACCTCCTCCCTCACCCAAACTCCCTCCCAGAGCCTTGGGCAGGTGGGGGGCAGAGTTTGGGCAGGGGTGGGTTCTGGGCACCACCACAAATTATACAACCTGCTGCCCCTGGACAAGAGGATATATTTGGCAAGCTTAGGTAGGTGTGCATTGGCCCCTTTAAGAAAAGAAGGCCATCCACGCAGGGCACTGTAAGCAGCCACTAGACCATGTACTGAAGCTAACACACACACACACACACTTCTGAATTGTTGTCACTGAGAATTCCTTCCTGCACAGAGGGAGGAATAAAAAATATTGACTGTTTTCAGGCACAACGCACTGAGCTTGGGTCAAAATATGCCCTTGATCATATAAAATGGCCTCAATCATCAAGTTCAACCATTATAATTCAACCCTGTTAACTTCTGCAGACCAAGAGCAATCATTTGCTGCCAACAGCCTCAATCGTGCTGTTACAGAAGAGATTTAAAGGAGATGGCACTTATTTCCCTGCAGGTAGAAAGTGCTAATGGAAGGACCAGGAGCTGCAGCACTGAGTAATATATCAGACAAATGCTCAGCCCGGTGACAAATGGTGTTACCGGCTCAAAAGAGACAAATGTTTAAAAAAAAAAAAAAAGATACAAGAAAAGAGAAAACCGGTGGGTCAGGTCTGTAGCTAGGATAAGTCAGCGTAGCTCCAATGAAATCTTTCGGTATTGATTTACACCAGCTGAGAATCTAGCTCAAACCTTGAAAATGATGAGAGCCAGAGAAATGAAAGGAGAGGAAGAGGGCTGTGGAGGCATATTGGCTAGGGCACCAGAGTAGGACTGAGAAGATCTGGGTTCTACTCATGGTTCTGCCATGTGACCTTGGCCAACTCTCTGTGCCTCTTTCTTTTCCCATCCTTTGTCTGGCTTGTCTATTTTGATTGGAAACTCTTTGGGGCAGGGACTGTCTCACACGGGGTGTTTGTTTGTACAGTGCGTAGAACAACGATGCCCTGATCTCAGTCAGTGTTTCTAGGTACCTAGCTATTTGAATACAGGTAAATCATCATCATCAGATGTGGGTTTCTTTTTTCACTCAGTAATATACTTGCTAGCTCCTTTTGCCTCCAACTATCCACCTGGAGCAGCAATTTTATCCCTCCTTGTGCAGCTGGTATTCTAAATTCCCCAACATCTGAGGACAGATGAACGTCTGCCCTGGGGAGTTAATGCCATGCCAGCAAGAGAGAGGTAAAACCCAAAGAAGAAACCCAACCTCTCTGTATCTACAGGGCACCACATCACCACATATCTCTCTCTGGCGCCTCCCCCACCCCAAGTTATAGGAGGACTCTTTCATTTGAAGCTCATGATCTTGCCTGCATTCCTGGAGGCACCATATATACAGAAATGAACAACATTTTGTGCTTTGAAAGGGGAGAAATAGATACACCAATCACTTTCTCTGTGGCACTAGCTGTTCAGACTCTAATTAAAAGAGCAGGAGGGTGGAGAGGAAATGCAGATGAAAAATACTTCTCCCATTACCCACTAGCTAAAATCTGAGTCTTTTTTTTAATCCTCAGTTAAATACAGGCCTGTTGATTAATGAGCTGATCAGAAAGTCCAGTGATGCAGCTGTCTCAACAGCTTTAATTGCTTTTAAAGGACTGTCTAGTTTAACTCCTGTCAGTCAGGGAAGAAATATCAACCGCAGTAAACAGTAGCAAGTTTTTTTGGATCTTAGCCTGGAAAGGTCTCAGTCAGTCAACGCTACAAGGTCATTCTGAACCATTCCCACCGTTCAAAGCATCGAACCCAAACCCACTTCTAATGGGAACCACCCTTGGAAAAAACAATGGCAGTGGCCTAGGCAGGAGGTAACTTCCCAACACTGTAAGAGCACAAGGAAAAATATCATGCCCATGGACCCTTGAAGTGGAGTAAGGGAATTTAAGTCAGGTGGGTGGAGTCTTCAATCTTGTTCCTGGACAGACACTGATAAAATGAAGTGCAGGTGCAGAGAGACCCCGATAGCAAAAATAAATGAAATGGGGAAGAAGGAATGAGCACCTAATGGACGCTTGGGGAAACGCTGCTTTAATTCAGTTACTGGCAACTGTAGTTGTCATGCTAAAAATACTTTGCAGAACATATCGTTAGAAAGCCTCCCTTCCCTGTTGTGGCATCCTGTCCAGTTATAAACAAGGATTACATCTGGTCTGCGTTGGCTGCATCCGTGCTCCGAGTCTGCTGCAGTCATGAAGGGCTGCCATAATAAACGGCTCTGACAAATAAAGGAAAACATAAACCAACACTAGGCCCTGTGGAAGATAAGGAAGAACGCTGGGAGCCGGGAAAGCAACTGTCAGACAGGGCCTTGGAAGTAGAAAGTGAGGATCTTGAAGTGAGCGTGCCAAGGTCAAAGAAATACAATGCTAGGAGACCTGTCTAGCCAAGACAGCTGAGCTGAAGATTTGTTGTAACTTTTTTTTTTTGCACACCACAGGAGGGATCATAAAACAGCCCAAATCTGTTTATGCTCAATTTAAAATAATATATTGCATTGTGCCACAGATTTATCATTAACAGAACATCTTTCCTGTTAATACATCAATGGCCTCCCAATCCAGGGCTCACTGCCAGAGAAGTGCTACATTCTGAATACAATCGATGAGCATTACATGTCCTTTCTAGGGTACCCCCAGGGTCTCTAGATTTTTCAGGAATGTTTCACAGTGAAAATCCCCATCCATTGTGTGTACACATTTTCCTTACAAGACACAGAAATACCTACTGCTCCTAATGCAAGCTTAGCGTCAATGGAACCAGGAGTCAGCTCTTAGTGATTTCTTGGGCCAACACAAACACACAGTTTAAGAACAGACCACTAAGGCTGGCAAAAGGGGACTGGAATGTTCCCCCCCGAGGTTGGCCACTTTTTTCCTGGGATGCAACGCTCTTCCCTGCAGAGGCTGAGGCGCATGAAAAGAAGCAAAAAGCTCCTCACTTTATATAACAGCATCCTCACCAATGCAAGAACAGTAATAATGGGTTTTGAGGAAGTCATATCCAGCTCCCCTTGGCTGGAAGGATGGGGTGGGAGAAGATTGTGAGGGGAGGAGATTAAAGAGGAGAAATAGGAGTAGATCCTGCAATGTTCCAGAAAACAGTACAGGATTTAGTTTCATTTTTACATTATGCAGTTCATCTGTAACTCATAGATCTCTTCTTTCAGAGAGAAGGAAGAATGCAGTCCACAGAGCTGAGCTGCACAGACAAACTGCCTAAACTGTGCACGCAAATCTAGAGTGACAGGTAGCTGTATCCGAGTATACCATTTTGGACGTGTGAACACAAGATCTGTGCTCACAATTTAGCAGAGAGAGACTTAAAGCAAACCCCTCACTCACCCTGAGCTCTGGGGAAGATAAGATTCACAAATGGTCCTTGCAGCTATGGCAGATCAAATCAAACTCCCAGATTTGAATAGCCTCCAGCACTGGGGAAGTGTGGCTCCAGATCTCACCATCACTGGTTCTATTCCATCCCTCCAAGTTAGGCTGAGACTTCTGAAAACACATCTCTGTGGGGTTTGTTTTCTCTTTGTAATGTATATTTTCAGCCAGGCTGAAGCTCCCACTGCTTTGCTGCGGGTGCAAAGATAACTGCAGATGCAACTCTGAGGACCTGGGCCAATAACCCCCCAGTCTGCAACTGCCCTAAGGTAGCGGGAGGCACAAGTGCTGGGACTGGTACTTGCAGTTCCCTGTAGGCTCAAAAACATGGGCACAAATGTCATGGGTGCAACTTACATCTGCCTATTTGAAAACCTTTTCCTATAACTCCCACTCTCTGACCCGATAGCTAGAAAGAACAGGAAATATTTCACTCTGAGTCATGGATGTGCTCAACCCCAAGGCAGTTTCTAAGACCACGTTGCACTGAAGCAACTTATTCATTAGTTATCACGCAGAACTCACAATTGGATTTGTACTGGGCATCTGACACTACAGAAGGCAGTCAGAGTTAATGCCTGGCTATATGCTTACCAGCTGGTCCCACCGGCTTCCTCAACACAGTCCCAGGATTTACCAGGGGAATAGCATCTGGGAGTAATTCATCATACCACGTGGCTGTCGTCCTCGTGATTGGCAGGTCATTCTCTGAAGGGAGGGTGCGCTCTGCAGACTCGAGCAGAAGAATCTAAACACAAGTCACAGGAAGAAAAACGTAATTGGGCAAGATGGCTCCATACTCCAGAACGCTGGATTCCGAGAGGCACTCAGCACTGAGGTCAATAGGAGGTGCTGGGCAATCTCAGGGTCAAGTCTATAAGTGACTAGAGTTTCAATTACTGCACTCCAGGGACTCTACTGTGTGCCCTGAACCCCAGTGGGCTGCACAGTGTATTGAGGTGTTTGCAGGGAGGTGCTGAGCATCATGCAGGATTGGGCCCTTAATGAGAAAAGCAACATGTTGTCAGTGAATGGCATTAGTATTAGGGGACGGAGCCTTTCACCGCTCTACGTCACTTGTATAAATGCAGCTCAGGTCAGTAACACCATGCTGAAGGGAGGCTTGGCAGCCTGTATGAAATGAATTTCGGGGCCTGAGAACTGGCACCGGTTGCAATTTTCAAGATTCTGACAACATTTTGAAAGTTGAAGAGGGGAATCTGGACAACATTTTCCCTGATTTTCAGACACAGCTCAATTTTGGAATTTAAAAAAAGGGGGTGTGTGTGCAGGGGGAGCTGGGGAGAACACAATTTTTAAAACGGTGGCAATTTTTCCTCTTTTCTCCACACCACTCAGCTCAGTAGTAAGCCATAGTACGCAAAATGCCAGCTGTAACTTTGAGTTAATGGACGCCACTTCCAAATAATTAATAATCTGATGTTTTCTGGGTTTGACCTGTTTGGGCTATTTAGAATGTAGACTCCTTGGGAAAGGGGACCAGCGCCATATCTCCCTCTGTGCATTATACAGTGCCAAGTACACTAACATCACTGTAAATACAATATTACTAGTATTCCTCTACGGCACTATAAACAGAGGCCACGAGGAGGGCCACAAAGTCGGTGGGAATTCAGCGCACTTAGCATCTGGCAGAATGAAGACCTAATTTCCCATAAAAACAGGGGTGGGTGGGGTCAATCCACAAGATTATATCTCCAGCAGAATTTTCTTTTGAAATACCATGTTGGGGCAATGGCTCAGTGCTGACCTGGAAAAAGTCCTGCAAAACAACGTAAGGGCCCTTCCCTATAGCACCACATTTTTCCCTTGTACATCTCCTAACCACATAAGGTACGTCTACACAGCCCGTGACAGCAAGCCTCCCAGACTTGGGCTAGCTGGGCTTGCCCATCCCCGTGTCCCAAGGCTTCAGAGCATGAGCTCCAACCGAGCCACAACTTTTCAAAGCGCTGTCTACACAGCTATTTTTAGAGCACTGGTACGAGCTCTGCCAGCCCAAGTTTGTCGACCTGGGTTGTGCAGACATGCCCACACTGATTTAGAGCTCAAGAAAATAAAAGGAGTACTTGACTCAAAGCTAGCCTCGAAATCATCAGGAATTTTTGAGCCTTTGTGTGCTGCGTTGATTTTTACATAATAAAGTCATGGTGTAATTTATAAATAAGAATGATGCTTTTTTTTTTTTTAAACTTCCAAAAATTATGGAGTATATAATTTATTGAGTACAATGCATGGCGGGAGCCAATAACGCGACAAAGCCAGAAATGACAAACATTCTGCAGAACACATTAGCCTGACAAGGGCACAGCAGAGACTAATTAAACTGGGAGCTAGGTTAAGTGCAAAGAACTGAACCTCTGCTGGCATGAACTAGCAGAACGCCCTCCTTGACTTCAAGGTCATTATTCACAGGGACTGGTGTCTTGGTTTCTGAACATTAGGTTGATGAAGAGGGAGGCAGGAAACCACCATCAAGAAACGAGGCCACACTGACCCCTAATTTAACTCCAGTGCCTGTGGTTATGTTAGCCCTGGGGTGAATTTAGTTCAGTGGGCCTGTTGCACTCTTTTTCTTCCATCCAATTCTTTTCTTTTTCCAGTTTTGAAGGAACTATGGTCTCAATTTAGAAAAAAAAAACACTTAAGCACGTGCTATAATTTAAGCACACACAAGTCCCATTGACTTGTGATTTAAGTACATGCTTAAGTGCTTTCCTGAATCAGCATTTATCCTAGTAATTCCCTTTCCAAAACTGTTGGATAACGTTGATTTATATCTGTTTCCACCTCTCAACACAAAGGAGGCTGCACTTCAGCACTGGGGGAAATGATGCGATCTCTACACGAACTAAGTGCTCTGACGCTTGTTAGAGGTGCTATGTTAAAGGAACACATTTAAATCAATAACAACAACAATTTTAGGTGGGTATGCAGAACACAGTGAAGTGGGGGCATCTAGGGCCCTGTACCATTGCATTATTAGCGGAGCTGACTGAGTTCTACCAAAGTTCACGTCTGGAATGGAACAGTTTTGAGTCATTTTTGTGGGTGATAATAAAAACGTGTTACCACATAATCAACACAGAACAGTGGCAATGGAGTCTTTTGCATTAAAACAACATGTTTTAAAATGAGTGCTCTGCTGATAAATGCTGTAAAGGATTTAAGGTGCGTAGCTCAATAATTCTGAACACACTGTTCCACATTGACTGCCTACACTTAACAGTCACTAAGACGGGCACTGTAGTTCTAAGTACGTTTTCCAAAACTCGTTTGGGCTCAGAGGACTCAACAGCTTAGAAGTCCCAAAAAGTTGTAATGTAAGATAGCAAAGACTTGAGCCGGTTGAGTAGTACTCATTGAATAACTTGGACAGATTGTGTCATGTTCACTGAGCAAAATATTTGGTGTAGTAAGCTATATAAAAATCTTTAACCCAGCTATAGGGCTGAGCTGGAAGTCGTACAGAATTTGATGGAGAATAGCGTCCTTGCTATAGAATTTTGAAACCAACCCGTGGAATTCTATAGCAAGGATACAGTTCTCTGTTCAGTTCCATAGCTCAGTTTCAAAATTCTAAAGAATATCAATGAGTTTCTATTAAATTCTGTAGATGCCCAGAGTGATTTCTATAGGACCCTACTGGTTTCATGCCTATTAAGTTCCAGAGGACTTTCCCTTGAGGGGACAACATAATTAGTATGATCACAAACAATTTCACAGATTTCATTACAGGTTTAAAAGATAAATTACTTCGTGAACAATAGTTGATGGCAACTTTTGACCCAAGGCAGCTCTGAAGAAAAAGGTTTCTTGCCCATCAATTATTTGTAATCTCATTAGCTGTTCTTGGGAGACAGAACCCTGAACTCAGGTCGCAGGCAAACGATGAGCAAACCATGAGGTAAAGTCTATCCCTGTTCAGCAAAGCATTGAAGCATATGGTTAACTTTATAACTTCTATAGCAGGGGTATAATTCTCTATTAAATTCTATACGCTGGTTCAAAAAAGACCGGCAGAACGGATACCGTTTACTACAAAGTCAATGGTATTTCATGAGGGGAAGTCAGAACAGAATAAAACTTGGGCTAATGAGCTGGTTTGGGTGCAAAACCGGACAAAGCTCAGTGGGGTTTGAAACTAGCCAAGTTTAGACTGAGACACTTAACCCCTGTGAATCTAAAGCACCACATCTCACATAACTCTGTACAGGGATGTTGGAACAATTTGTATAGTGAGGGTGCTGAATGCCAATGAACCAAACTGTAAATCTTGTATATGATGGGAACCACTTCAAGCCCAGTACTGGAGTCCATTAAACTACTGCATGTGGAAAGGATCCAGTAATCCTTCAAATGCCACGCTGAGAGTTCACTGCAGAGCTCAGAGTGAAATCAGATTTGCCTCAATAATTTTAAAACACCCCATAAAAATATACCAGAGCTATAATCTCGCTTCCACCTCCCCAGTCACAGCGTTCTTCTTTGCCCAATTTAGCGTCACCCTTCGAGAAAGTAACACAGTGCCCAAGCTCTGCCACCGTGAGATGTCAGACTTGTGAAAGCAACATCTGATCTCAGCAATGGCTCTGACCTTAGATATCTGCTTGTGATCAGGTCTGCACTATGACATTTGACACCAGGTAAGTGAGGCTGGGAGGGTGTGTCAGCACTCTCAATGGTCATACTGCCGTGTGACCTTTAGCCTCAGTTTGCCACTAAGAGGAAAGCGACACAACAGAGGAGCCACAATAAGAACCTGATTCATCTCTTACTTAGCATGATGTAGCTCATGAGTAACTCCATTGAAGTCAATGGGCCTGATTTTCCTCTTACGTCAATGTAAATCAGGAGAAATTCCATTGGAATTTCACCCCAGGGATTAGAGTGAATATTTGCACACATGGGCTGGGATAGTCAAAGGATTTAGGTGCCTAACTCCTCTAACGGCCTTTGAAAATCCCTCCCAGGGCACCTTTTATCTAAATCAAGCTGGAATTTGTCTGTGAAAATATTCCTCTGCCTTAAAAAAATTCTTGGGTGTTTTTCATTTCCCATATAACAGCCCTGCAAAAGCATCGACCATCCTAGGCACACATTTCCTTGGCAAAAGTAAGTTGTGTGTTGTGGGTGAATAGAAATGTTTAAGGTTACTTTAGAGAAATTTTAATACACATATGGGGGGGGATGATATTTTACAGTGCAAGACTGGTTACAGAAAGTGAATCACAACATTTGCCAGCCACATGGGACAGTCGGAGGGTCACAGGCTCAGGGAAAGGATTTCTCATCAAGCCTGAAATTTATAAGAAGTGAGGGCTGGGAATTATTAGGCTTTAGGATGAGAGGTTTTGCACTGTCATTCTTAATTATAGTAGTACGTGAGAATAAGAGGTAGGCCAGATCTGAACTTCCCCAAGTTGTCCCAATCTGGAGGATAAATTCTGCTCATTAGCAAGACCACAGGAGCCAGTTGTGTCATGCACAAATGGCTCTTGATCCAAAGTTTGAGTTGTTCAGAACTGGGTTTTGGTTCAGGCCGTCCCTAGTTAAAATTAGTCATGAAATTGTTCTTTACCCTCCTGGACATTTGTTTTACATTAATTGAGCTGCAGAAGCCTCAGAAGCTCCCATTTTAAGATTTGTACAAAGGTGGTTTTAAACCCCATCCTGATTTTCATTCTTGTTAGGAGCAATAGGCAAGATATTAAATGAACTGCTGAC